TGTTTCCTTTCCCTTTCCTCAGCATGAACCAAACGCCCCCTTAGCACGTAGTAATTTGGGTAAAGTGCTAAACACTAACAAATAGCGGGCCAAATAGTTTCAATGTTCCATTGTTCCCTATGATTTTAAAAATTTGTACCAATATATTTTGTATTTTCAAAATTTATTACTAAAGTTTCTCTGGTTTCAAAATGATGTATCTACACTTCTCTGATCATTTTCAGGTCATTTTTCGGTGATGAGGGGCACTAGTGCATATTTTCTAAATCACAAGAGTCACTCATGCTCGTTTCTCAGAACACCTAAAAAATTCCATTAAATTGGGATGTCAAAAAAAGAATACTTATTTTTATTATTTGTTTTATTTTATTTTTTTTGTTTTGTTCCTCATTTTCGAAGTTCTCAAAAAAGTTTTTACTTTTTTATTTCAAAAACAAAAACTAAATATTGTTAATTTGAGACATACACATAAAGCATCGATACAAAGAAAATTATTAAAATCATAATAATGCGAGGGAGATAAATCAATTTTTTGCTAATTTATAATAATGTAGAAAGAAGAGTCATGTTTTTTTCATCATAGGATCGATAACCCATGTTGCTTTGAATTAATATGGACGAGAAGAATCATTGGATTGCAAATGTGTTTTTCATTAATATTTTTTGAATAAATGCAAGGAATAAGATTCATATGTTTGTAAAATTATTAAACTTAGATCATTATATTTGAAGTAAGAGTTGCATACCATGTAAACAAAGTCGGAGAGAAAGTGCATACCGTAAATGATTTTGGTATCATTTGATCGAGAATTATCTTTGAAGTTTTAAAGAAGATAATTTCTGAGAGTTTGTGTTTCGCTATGACTATTAATGAAAGTCAAAACAAACATTGTGTTTTTGAAAGAAGTATTATCAGTTATGTTATTGCGAAACATTTATCAAACATTTGAATCGTGCAATGATAGAAAGTTAATCGTTGAAGAGTTATAAACAGGTCTCAGCTGGTGGTATTTGAGAACAAACATTTCATTTCAATTCTTACATGAAACACCTATGTTTGAGTATGAATGTTATGTTTTACGTACTCTTATTTGGTATGATTTCTTCTCAAATTATTATCTATTTAATTTATTTAATTATAGATGTAAAATTTAAAAATAAAATTTATATTTTTTAAAACTATCTCAAAAATTTATAAAATACGGAGAGATATGATTATTTTATTTTATCAAATGACTAATGAAACTAAAATAAAAAAATTATAAAGTTTAACCATTCATAGTGACTGGGAAATTTTTTTTAGGGCTTTGTTTGGTAACAGCGTTTTTGATTAGCGTCAGCGTTTTGGATAAAATTTTAACGGTGCAGATTAATTCTGAAAACGCTAACGCTAAAGGCTACCGTCGGTTAGCTTTTTCAAAACGCTAACGCTAATCTCTGACGCTGATGCCAAACTGGGCCTAGGTCAACAGAATTTATTTTAGTAAAGAAAAATTTAGCATTCTAAAACAAACCAAAAAGGAAATGGATTTTTTTTAATTTGAAATGAAATGATATAGTATCGCAACACGCTCATACACCATGTTATATTCTACTCCGTATTTTTGTATTCTAGTTATTCGATTTCAATTTCAACTAAAAATAAATCGAAAAAAAACATAACTTACTATTTTGTAAGATGAAAAAATTAAATTATTTTCACACAACTTTTTATTGATCAAATTACTCCATTCGTTTTAACATATTTGCAACATTATGCAAAACGAAACTTCAAATTTTTTAATTTTTTAATTTAAAAGAAATCCCCCAAGAAGTAATTAACTCCATTATTTTAGATCAATCTTCGTAGATCAATTTCCGATCGATTTCCCACTCCTCTCTCCTCCCTTGATCAATTCCAATTGTGATCACCACCAAAGCGCAAGCTACTCCCGCCACACCCCTACTTCTTGAGGAATCTAGAAATGGCTTCCATTTATTGAGCTTGTTGTTTGCTCTCTTCCAAAACTAGCTCGATCCCCACATTATTCCATATTCATATCTGAAAATATTTCTTAGACGAAACCTAGAATCGCTTCAAGGGGTGATTTGTGCGATTTATGACTTTTGGTGATTAATTGGATGATTCTAGTTTGCTTCTACGGAAAAGTAAGAATTTTTAGCATTATATTAGCATTTCTTGGTGTTGGTAGTGTGTTGGCAAACTACATCTTTAGCATTAATTTTTCTACTTATTACTTATCCTTGTTAAAATTAGATCAGAAATAATCATATGATCAAATCCAATTAAATCAGATCAAATCAGATCAGACCAAATCCAATCAGATCAGATCAGATCCGATCCAATCAGATCACATCAAATCAAATAATATCAAATCAAGAAAAAAATATAAAAAATAATATTCATATTTTTCAAATATTAAATAATAATTACTAATATTTGATTAAATCACATTACTTTATTGAAAGCTACACGCACCTAAATCTTAATTAATATTATAATTTTAATAATGTTATTATTATTGTTATATTATTATTATTACATTTCATCTACAAACCAATATTTTTAATAATTGCTTAGCTTGTAGAAATGATGTGTGGAAGCAATGTTTAAAGCTTAAAAAGTTGTATTTTTCATACTTTAAAAGAGTTTTTTAAATTACTTGTTTATAAAATAATTATACAAAACTTAGTTTTCAAAACCATAAATATTTTATACTCCCTCCGTCCTATAATGTTCTTTTTGGTTCTGTTTACGAGGTTTGACCAGCTTTATTTTCAATTCAATTTATTTGATTGTAGGTGTAAAATTAAAAAATAAAATTTATATATTTAAAAATTATATGAAAAATTATACAAAACGAGTGGTGACAAGACTATATTTTTTATATCAAATACCTAATGAAAATAGGTAAAGAAAGGGATTAAAGTTTGACAATGTAAAAAGTAAGTGGGAAGAACATTTTAGGACGGAGGGAGTACATAAAAAGACTTACTTTTAAATTTTAAGATAGTATAATATACACAAGGGTGAGTTTATGTCACATATGATAGAGGTGAAAGAAATATTAGTGTTTAAGATTTTTATATGATCCTTAATTTGTAACATGAAATATATTATTATTTAATATGAATATAAAATGTGATATTTATGTAGAATAACATCCATATTTTTTAACAATTGGTTATTTTAATAGTGATTATTTAGTTTTTACAAAGATTAAAATTGTAGTGATATTGAGAAGATATTTAATATTTCAAAAAAAAGTTTAAATATATCAATGATTAGCTGATTTTCTTATTTTACTTTTTTTGTATATATGAATTTTAATAATTTAAAACTATTAAATTTTGTAATAATTTCAAGTTTAATTTAACTAAAATTTAAATTCATTTACACCGGATCTAATTAGATGGAATCAGCTCCAATCAGATCAGATCCGATTCAATCAGATCATACTAGACCGAATTAGATCAGATCAGATCAAACCAGATCCAATTAGATCAGACTAGAACTTCAAAAGTTTAGATCAAATTCAAGATAAGGCATATGGAACAGAGCCTTGTCATCTTCCTTTACATTTTATATTATATATTAACATATTTGTCATTATGAATTACCATTTTTGACATTGTATTTTTAGTTTTTTTCTTTCATAGTTATTGTGGCACCATAGCCATGTGATGGAGAAAGTGGTAGACTGTGTCAGTAGCGACGACAAAGCACGACAACAACGACGTAAAAAATAAATGTGATTGAAGTAGGAGTGGATCGCTGCGGCAATGAAAGTTCAATTGATGCATGTATCAAATGAGAAAGTTGAAGCCGTCATCCACCTGTCGCCGCTCTAGTTCTTCCGCTAGTAGCAAGACTGAATTTGAGGCCTTAAAAGAGCATAATCAACGCCTCCAGGAACAGTTTGATGCCCTCACCTCTAAATTCACCACCCTGCAAGAAGATTTGAAAAGGTTATATGGTGATAACTATCCACCACAAGACAATGACGGTGGAAATGGAGGAGCAGGGCAAGCAGGAGCCATTTGTTAGACAGTTTGAAAACATTATCAATGTTTATGCATATTATCTGACTGAAATGTTTATGCATACAATACATTAAAATTAACTTAATTTGTACTCCGTATTTGTTATGTGGTTTTTGATTGACTTTAATATTAAAAAATTATTTTTAGTTATGTTACAATTTGTGTTTTTGGTAATCCCCATCCTCATGAATGCTATGTTGCTGATATTTGAGAAAAAATAAAGAAACTGTAAACTGCCAGAAACCATTTCTACTGGTCTATGATGATGCCTTCTGCGACGGACCTGCGACGGCAAGCCTCCGTCGTAGAAAGCCAGTAGAAATCGTAGCTCTCCACGCCTGTCGCAGATCTGCGACGGAAACATGTGTCCGTCGCAGAAAACATGTGCGACCAGACTCTCCACTCACCGTCGCAATTCCGTCACTGATCAGCGACAGAAATGTTTGTCCGTCGCAGATTAATCTCTTGCGACGACCTATCTGCGACGGTGCGTCATACGTCGCAAGCCCGTCGCAGATCCCGAATCTGCGACGGAATTTAAGGAACTGCGACGGAAATTTTTTGTGGCAGATCCGACAGATTGTTGTAGTGATGGCAGCATGGGCGGTGTTGTTCGCGGCACCATATGTGGCAGTTGTAGAGTGATGTCGATGGTGACTAGGGCGGTGCATCACCGACATCGTCGACGCACCATGACCGGCAGTTGTATAGTGCATTTGAGCAACATTAGTGTATTTTTTAAATTTGTAAATGTTCTTTTCTATAATATAATTCCTATTTTAGATACTTTTTTCTACTCCTATCTTGGTTTGCAAATGTTTTACTCCTTCCTATTTTGCTTGGTAACCCTTAGATTATTGAAGTTAATTACTTCTATTTAGGAGAGTTTATGTTTCAACTCTTATTTTGAAGATTTATCCTGTTATATTGTGTTCTCTACCATATTTTTTGTGCAGGTTGAGCCGGGGGTCTCTTGGAAACAGCTTCCCTACTTTCAAATAGGGGCAAGGTCTGCGTACACACACCCTCCCCAGACCCTACTGTAGTGGGATTCAACTGGGTTGTTGTTGTTGTTGTTGTCTTATTTTGAAGATATAATATATATTTTACTTTTTGTTTGGTTCTTAAGCTTTTATTTAAATATTGGTTTAATGATAAAAATAAAATTTATATATTTAAAAATTATATCTAAAGCTCTTTAAAACAAAAGATTAAAGATATTTTATTTTATTAAATAATTAATTAAACATACAAATAAATAAAAATTTCTATTTTTTAAAATATTAAACTGTGACATTTTTTTAGAATAAAAAAAAGTTAAATTGAACTCAACCCATAAGTTCAGCCGAACCAAGGGAGACAAGGGTGTGTGGGCGACGACCGGAACCGATCCAATTCAAGTTTACAATTTCAACCACTAATCGAACGACCAGTCCGTGTAAAATCGATATAGANCCCCCCCCCCCCCCCCCGTGACTCAAAGTCGCCTCAACTCCACCCTTTTTTTGAAATAAAGAAAAAAAATCAACTTTTAGCAACTTATTTGCTGTATTTAGCATCTTTTAGGGTGTTAAATGAGAAACCATTTCCAATTTTTCCCTCTTTTTTTATACCTACATTCTCCTTTTTATCATCTTCAATTTTATAGTTTGTAGTTGTGGGGTGGTTTCTTTGTTGGAGCTTCCATTAATGGCGGATTTAGTGAAGCAGATACTGGCAAAGCCGATTCAGTTAGCCGACATGGTGATTAAAGCCGCCGACGAGGCTTGTTCCTCCAAGCAAGACTGCGGTGAGATTAAGTCCAAGACCGAGAAACTGGCGGCGCTGCTCCGGCAGGCCGCACGCGCCAGCAACGACCTGTACGAGCGTCCGACGCGGCGGATCCTCGACGAAATCGAACAGGTCTTGGAAAAGGCTCTGGGTCTGGTCCTCAAGTGCCGATCCCACAGCATCGTCAAGCGCGTGTTCTTCATCAACCTCGCGGCGGCGTTCCGGAAAATGCATTCCCAATTGGAGAACTCCGTCGGGAACGTGTCCTGGCTCCTCCGCGTCTCCGCCTCCGCCTCGGCGGACGAGTGCCTGGGCCTCCCTCCCATCGCCGCCAACGAGCCCATCCTATGCCTGATTTGGGAGCAGATCGCGACCCTCCACACCGGCCCTCCCGACGACGCCTCCGCCTCCGACGCCGCCGCCTCCCTGGTCTCCCTCGCCCGCGACAACGACCGGTACGGGAAGCTGATCATCGAGGAAGGCGGGGTGGGCCCACTGCTGAAACTCCTGAAGGAAGGCAAACCGGAAGGCCAAGAAAATGCAGCCAGAGCAATCGGGCTTCTGGGCCGCGACCCGGAAAGCGTGGAGCAGATAATCGTCGCCGGCGCCAGCTCCGTCTTCACCAAGGTCCTCAAAGAAGGCCCGATGAAAGTGCAGGCGGTGGTGGCCTGGGCGGTTTCCGAATTCGCCGCCCACTACCCGAAATGCCAAGACGTCTTCGCCCAGAACCACATAATCCGGTTGCTTGTCAGCCATTTGGCTTTCGAGACCGTCCAAGAACACAGCAAATACGCCATCGTCGGGAAAACCACCTCAATCCACTCCCTGGTTTTGGCCAGCAACAAAACCGCCAATAAAAATTCCACCAATTTGCATAATGTGGTTGAAACCACAGTGGCAATGAAATCCCATCATCATCATCATCATCAACACCATCACTACCAGAACAGTCTCTCAATCAAATCGAGAGAATTTGAAGACCCAGAAACCAAATCTTTCTTGAAGTCAATGTCAGCCAGAGCACTCTGCCGCCTAGCCAAGAACAACCATTCAATCTGCCGGAGCATAACGGAATCAAGAGCCCTCCTCTGCTTCGCCGTGCTTCTGGAGAAAGGCCCGGCAGACGTGCAGAACAACTCCGCAATGGCAGTGATGGAGATCACCGCCGTTGCAGAGCAGGAGCCGGACTTGAGGCGTTCGGCGTTCAAGCCCAATTCCCCATCCTGCAAAGCCATCGTTGACCAGCTCGTCCGGATCATAGAAAACCCGAATTCCAATCTCCTCATCCCCTGCATCGTCTCCGTCGGGAACCTGGCAAGAACATTCCGGGCAACGGAGACGAGAGTGATAAGCCCACTGGTAAAGCTCCTGGACGACGACGAACGGGAAGCTGACGTGGCGAGAGAAGTAGTCGTCGCGCTGACGAAGTTCGCCAGCAAGGACAACTACCTCCACATGTACCATTCCAAGGAGATCATAGGGTGCGGTGGGGCCAACCACCTGGTACAGCTGGTGTACCTGGGAGAATCCAAAGTGCAGAGCTCGGCTCTGGTTCTGTTGTGCCACATCGCCATGAATGTGCCGGACTGTGAGGAGCTGGCGCGAGCGGAGGTGCTCACGGTGTTAGAGTGGGCGTCGAAACAGGCTAACATTGCCGCGGCGGCGGCGGATGACAAGGCGGAGACGCTGTTACATGACGCCAAAAGCAAGCTGGAACTCTATCAGTCCAGAGGCTTGAGGGGATTTCGCTGATTAAAAAAAAAGACACTCTTATTTGAAACTCTTTTTTCCTCTACGATCAATGATGCTTCATTATTTTTTGTTTTATTTTGTTTGTTTGTATACAATTATACAAATATAGTTAGGGTACAGAATGGTAGGAGCTGCTGGCCTTGTTGCATTTGACTCGATCCTTTCCTTTGTTTAGAAACTCCCAAAACTATTCTTTTTTTCCTCCCTTACAAAATAGAGTCTTTTTTTAGTCCAACTTGATGCATATTATTTTTGTAAATTTTCTCATATTAATTTTTCTTATTTTTTTGTATTAAAAAAAAATAATGTTTATCTAAGTAGTAAAGAAAGTGAAATTTACACTAAATAGTGCTAAAACATACTCTCTCCGTCCCAGAAAACCTTTCTCCTTTCTTTTTTCATTCGTCCCAAAAAACACTTCTCATTTCTATTAAAAAGTCACTTTTACCCTTTACTTTTTCATACCCTATCTATCACATCATACCTTTTTACTAATAATCTATTCATCAAATCATACTTTTACTCATCACATCAAAGGACATTTTTGGAAATTCAATACCAAAATACACTTCTCTTAAATCCCCTTTCAAAATCAAAACTTTCATGTTTTCCGGGACGGAGGAAGTATGTCTTTTTCTAATTTAATACTTAAATTTTTATAGAGTAAATTCCATAATTGGTCCTTTATAGTAGGGACGTTTACATATTTAGTCCTCTATTATCAAATATGACTCACGTAGTCCTTTTTTAAGAGTACCTTTCCACAAATGATCCTTTTTTGATCTTCTGTCGTGTTGGTGTTAATTTAAAGGCTAAAAGTATAACTTGACATCAACATTATGTCTAGTGACATGCTCTGATATTGGTTAAGTGAATAACATAAAATAATGACTATGATTGTAGGTTGGGATTCTTACGAAAAACCACATTTGTAGACTATGGTTGTAGTAGAAAGTGACTGTAATTCACAAACGACGCAAACGGAACAGCCTTTGAAACTGTGTATGACAAAAAAGATATATTATCATTGTGAAATTACATTTTTAGCCCTCAAGTAAACACCAACATGATAAAAGATCAAAAAAGGACTATTTGTGGAAAGATACCTATAAAAGAAGGACCATTGAGATAATATTTGGTAATAGAGGTCTAAATAGGGAAACCCCCCTGTTATAAAAGACCAATTATAGAATTTACTCATTTTTATATTACTAAATAGTACTTCAATAATGTCTAGTAGCGGGAACAATGTCAGTAATGGTGGACATTTAGTTTGAACAATGTCTTGTGGTGCTAGACATTTACTTGAACAATGACCAGTGGACGTTGAACACGTATACCACATTGAGAAATAAAAACATATGGTACTACATTGAAAAAGTTATTATGTTTTAGTACTGTTTTGGTAAATTCCCCGTATTTTGCTTATATATAGATCCATGGTAGATTGGTAGATCTTAGGTCCAGAGTACAATTTGTCCCAAAATAATTTCAATTCTTATTTAACAAAAATACTACGGAGTACTCCGTATGTGACCACAATTTTTTGTGGTAAAATTATTTTAAAAGTGAATTCTACTTGATTTTACATTATTTCTTGAAGCCATTCTTTAGGGTATGTTTGGTTGGAAGTAGGTAAAAGTTTTATTAGGTAGGTAATTGAAGGTAGATAAATGAAAGTACGTAAAGTAAGGTAATGAGTTAAAAAATTGTATTTGGATATTTATTAGGTAACGTAAGGTAGGAAAAAAATAAAATTACAAAATTATCCTTGTGGTTGTTTTTCTTTATTTGTTGAATCGCGGCATGGAAGAGCATAAGAACAAAAACTGAAAATTGAAGTAAGCAATGTCAAACAAATAGGAAAAAGTTATATCAATTCAAGAGGCAAAAACATGGAAAATCCATACAATTTCACTATAGTGTTATAAATGGAAGCAACTAAAGAAGCAAAATTGTCTTCAATTATCCAGAGAGACCTAAGCGGAACAGTGACAAAAGATCAATAATTGAAACCCTCCAAATTCCCAAATCATAGCAGAGAATCAAATATACGGTTGTGCATGAAAAATTGAAAAAAGTGAACGAAATTGGAGAAAAAAATGAACGAAACTGAAAAATTGAAGTGAAAAAAAGTACCGAAAATACATGTTGGAGATGGAATCTGCTATCGGAAGAAGGTGACGATGCAAGAAGAAGATGGCAATGTGGGTTTTTGCGATCAGGTAAAGTGTGAAGAGTAGCAGCGGAACCTATTGATATTACCTTGATAATTTGCCAAATTGGCAGTCGCATAAAAACTACTGTTGAGAGGTAATCCTAGTTCCCTCTACCTCCCCCTACCTTCCTTTACCTATCTTAATTTTTGTTACCAAACAAAGTGTTAGCCTGAAAGCTCGGTGGATAGCCTAGCCTACATAGATAATCATATATGGCTATAACTTATAGCCCATTCAATCCGAGCCAGACAAGGCCTATCCATATTAATGAGCAATTATTTAGTGTTAAGCTCGGCCCAAAGTTGTGTTTGCAAAGGTCTAGACTTAAATTACTTTACTGAAGGTATCTTGTGTTCTACGGAGTATCTCTTTAGAGCTTGTAATTTAAAAATGAACAATCTATTCCACATTACCACTAAAAAATTTTGAATAATTTACCTAAATAAGACTAAAATATAATGACTTTCTCAATCTAGGACTATACGTTTTTATTTCCCAATGTAGAACCATTGGTCATTATCTATTAGTCATTATTCAACTAAATGTCTAGCATCACTTGGACATTATTCTTTTCACTAGTCATTATTAAGTCATATTTAGAGAATAAAAAAGTTTAAGTCCTAAATTGGGAAATGACTTATGTTTTAGTCCTATTTAATTCAAATTTCACAAAGGTTTTTCGGAAAAACTTTAATAAGCTTTTCTTTTGTCATTGAATAATTTTTCTTCTTCTCGTATTTGGATATGGATGATACTACTTGTATACTCCGTAAAATTTTGCAGTATGTAAAAGAAATAAGAATCTGTATTACTAATAAAATATTTTCTCGAAAAAGTTTAATAAGCTTTTTCTTTCGTCATTGTATACTTTTTCTTCTTCCCGTATTTGGATTTGGACGATACTACTTGTATACTCCGTATAATTTTGTAGTATGTAAAGTAAATAAGAATTCATATGGTGCATTTACAGAGTATGATCTAAGGGTCATAAAAAATAGAAAAATAAGCAAAATTTTGGGAAAACGTTGTGGCATTTCAATAAAAGTGATGCTTACATAATCTCAAAATTCAAACTTAAAATGTGGACCTTATTATATTTTCATAGGCTTGCATGTAGATATTTACTTTTTTGCAATAGGTCCATTTTTTAATCCTACAAATGGGCTAGGATCGATAAAATGAGCCTGAACCTTATGTTCACGAAAGAATTTGTCTTTCAGTAAATAAGTCGAACTTCTAATCCACTGCGAAAAGTGCACTACCATAATGTAAATGTGCATCGTGATGGACAAAAAATGCATCATTCTCATTTCTCTCACTAAAAGCTTTTTCATCTGATCCGCACTATATATATATATATATATATATATATATATATGGAATGACATCTTACGGCGAGATGACATGCTTCGGTGAAATGATGCCAAGCTCACTACATTACATTGCAAAGCTCACCAATAACCAATGCAAAGCTAATTTGGGAATAAAGCAAAGCTCACCACTAGCCTGGAAATAGAGCAAATCTCACCAATAACTATAAAGCTAACTTCAAAATGAAGTGAGGTATTAATAACATTATTATTATTATTATTATTTCAAGAAATATGCAAAATTGATTATTGAAGGTGGAGAATTAATAATTAAAATCTTATTACTACAATTTTAGTTAACATTAGATACTCCCTACTACTATCAATTAATACCAAAAGAAGATTAATGTGGGTTTATCTTGTCCCAAGTGTGGGGTATTTGTTGAAGATATTGTGCATGCTAATGTTTCTTGTGATTTTTTTAACGAAATATTTGCACTAAATAGTACTAAAACTTAAATCATTTCCTTAAATAGTACTTAGATTGTTTTATTCTGTAAATAGCACTTATTCGAATAATGACTAATGCATAATGACTAAGAGCGCTACATTAAGAAAAAACATATGATACTATTTAAGGAATGTCAATATGTTTTAGTGCTATTTAAGTTTAACGGTTCATATATATTGGAGTCAAGTTCTCCCGAATTTCATTTCAATCTATTAATTGAATCTTTGGGTAAATTTCAAAAATGATAACTCAACTTTCACAAAAATTTTGATTCGGTATCTAAACTTCAAAAACTTTCAAAAAAATTTCTGAACTTTGAAAACCTTTCACGAATGGTACCTGAAGCCGGTTTTCAGGTAACCAACAAGTCATTTTGACCAAATTTTAATTTTTTATATTTTACAATTTTTAATTTGACCCAATTTCTTCTTCTTTTCTCCTTGTTCCCACTCCCTTCTTCTTCTTCTTCTTCTTCTTCTTCTTCTTCTTCTTCTTCTTCTTTCCAAAGCTTCCCTCACCCCCTGCCAGCCCCCATCTTGCCGTTCCCTTCATCTTTTTTTCCAACACCCCCACATTTTTTTGGTGTTCCCTCTTTTTTGTTTCAATTTTTACATCTTTTTTAAGTTTTTTTGTTTCCGGTTTTTTCGATCTTATTTGTTGTTTGTATTTTTTATATTTTTTCTTGATATTTTTAAATTGTTTGTTTGTTTAGTTTTTTTTGTGAACTTTGTTTTGTAAGTTTTTTAAATCTATTCTTTTAAGAACTATCTTATTTCTTTTGTTTGTTTTACTTTTTATTTTTTGATATTGTTTTATCTTATTTTTTGTTTGTCTTTGATCATTTTTTTATTTTTTATTTTTATGCTATATTTTATTTTTTCATCAAATGAAGCAAAAAAAACTGATTGACCTTTGGATTTGTTTTTTGTGGGTTGTTCTATTTTTATGTTGCACTTACTCTTAGTTTGAATTATTTTATTTTATTAATTAATTAATTTGTTTTATTTTATTGATCATTTAAGTTAAACAAAAAATCATACCATATGTCTTCTTTTTTGTTTGTTAACTTTTTTTTTTATCTTTTTTCAAATAAAACAAACAGAAACATTAAATATATGGTACACTATTTTTTATTTAACTAAAATGTTCAATAAAATAAAACTCATCAATTAATAAAAAAATAAGTCAAACTAAGAATAAGTGAAAGATAAAAAGAGAACAACTCACAAAAAAGAATGAATCCAAATGCTAATTAATTTTTTTCTTCATTTTATGAAAACATAAAAGATAAGAAAATAACAAACAAAAAAGGATAAAGAAATAAAAAAATAAGACAAAATAATATCAAAAAAATTAAAAAGTAAAATAAACAATAAAATAAAATGCTTTATAAGAGAATAGATAAAAAACTTACAAAAAAAGTTCACAAAAAACTCGTAAACAAACAAACAAACAATATAAAAGTATCAAGAAAATAAGATTAAAAAAACAAACAAATAAGATCGAAAAAAAAGAAAAAACAAAAAATGTGAAAAGGGAAAGACAAGAAGAGGGAGCTCAAGAAGAGAGTGAGGGGTATGCTGGAAAAAAAGAGGAAAGGAAGGGGGCAGGATTGGGGGCTGGGAGGGGGTAGGGGTGGCGTGAGGAGAACTTTGGAAAAGAAGAATAAAAGAGATGGAAGAAAAAGAAAAAGAAAAGGGGTGAAAGAAAAGACAGAGAAGTGATGGGGGAGGGAAAAGAAGAAAAAATATAGCTCAATTTAAAAACTATAAAATACTCCCTCCGTCCACTTAAGTTCTTCCCGTTACGCGTTACGAGGCTTGACTGACAATATTTTCAATTCAATTTAATTGATTATAGGAGTAAAACTTTAAAATAAAATTTATATAGTACTCCCTCTGTCCACCATAGATCTTCCCAGACACTATTCACAGGGTCAAACTTTATTCACTTTGTTTGCTCATTTTTACTAGTCATTTCGTAAAATAATATAGTCTTGTCACCTCTAGTTTTGTAGAACTTTGCATTAGTTTATTACTATATAAATTTTATTCCTATAATCAATTAAATTGAATTGAAAATAAACTCGGTCAAGCCTCGTAACGCGTAACGGGAAGAACTTAGGTGGACGGAGGGAGTAATAAACTACATGAAAAGTTTTACAAAATTAGAGGTGACAAGACTATATTATTTTACGAAATGACTAGTAAAAATGAGCAAACAAAGTGAGTAAAGTTTGACCATGTGAATAATATCTGGGAAGATCTATGGTAGACAGAGGGAGTACAAAAAATTTGAAGTTTAGATATATAGAATCGCAATTTTCGTAAAAGTTGAAGTTTCATATTTGAAATTTTACCTTAAATCTTTGGTTGATTTAAAACAAAGCTATATAGGCCGAATACTTCGTTTAGTAGGGGTGAGCATCGGGTCGGTTCGGTCGGTTTCGGCCCAAAACCGAAAAAACCGAAAATTAAAATTACTCAAAAAAACCAACCGAACCGAACCGAATTAAAGCTAGAACCGAATAAACTGAACCGAGTAAAAACCGATCGGGTTCGGTCGGTTTGAAAAACCGAAATCTTCATTCAAACAACTTAATGCCTACTGCAAATATTGAAATATTTCTCAAATTTTTTAAAGGAAAGTAATAGCAAACACATATTATAACAGCTCCAAAATGACAAAAACATATTATCTCTCAGGGGTCAAACAGTATTTAAACAAACAAAAGAAGAGCCCCAAAATGAATAATAAAAGCCAACAATAATACTGATATCAATCCAAGTAGAGCTTTAAAAAGTTCAAAATAATAATAAACTAAAAATGCTCCCATGACTTCGCTGCTCAATTCCATCAGAACTGGATGTCACCCATCACCATCAATCTGTACTTCTAAAGAAAAAAAGTCTTAACATACAATCCACTGAAATTGAAAAGTATGAGAGTTATAATTAATAAAATAACGGGATTACCAAAACATTACCGGATTACCAAAATCAAGATCTCAATGTCTTCACATCTCTAAGCATCAATAACGGGATCCAACTTGAGTTTGGACAAATCTAAAAGAACAAAACAAATAGACAATTTAAAAAAATAGTTATGAATGCTAAAAAAAATATTGAAAAATGGAATACATTTTAAATGATATAATAGCAACGTATGTAGTTATACACACCTTTCAAGCATTCAAAGTACAATACACATCACATATTTCTTCCAAATAAACATTAGATGTGACATACAAGGAACCAGAAACTCTTTTTGTGAGATTATAAAAACGCTCCAAAAATATGCTTAAGTTCTTACCAATTTCCCAATCATCATGAGAAGGAATCCCTTTATCTTCAATGAGAGCAGTTATGTAATTACTCTCGACATCCTCAAACCTGTCAAATGCTTTCTCAAACTTCTGAGCAGAATGTAACATCAAATATGTTGAGTTCCACCTTGTACACACGTCTAAGCTCAACAAAGATTTAGACTCAATCTTTGAAAATGCAACACATTCTTTGAACTTATGCATTCTGGCAGGTGATTGTCTAACATATTTAACAGCACTTCTTATCTTATAAATGGAGTCATTCATTGTCTTCATGCCATCACTAACAATGAGGTTAACAATATGAGCCACACATCTCATGTGAAAGTATTTTCCTTTAAGCAATGATGTTCCCATACTAATAAACCTCTTTTTTAACCATCCCACAGCTGTGTCATTTGAGCTTGCATTGTCAACCGTGATTGTAAAAACCTTGTCTATACCCCAATCTCGCAAACACTTGTCAATTGCTTTACCAATATTCTCACCTTTATGACTCTCAATTGGACAAAAGTTGATTATCCTCTTATTTAATTTCCAATTTTCGTCAATAAAGTGAGCTGTTAGACAAATATAATTGACATTTTGCAAAGACGTCCAACAATCAGTGGTAAGTGACACTTGGGCACCTTGAAACAACTTCTTTATTTTAGTTTGTTCTTCTAAGTAAATTCCATAACAATCTCTAGCAACTGTCCATCGGGAAGGCATTTTAAATCTTGGAGCAGCAATGGATATGCACTTTCTAAAACCCTTTCCCTCAACAAATTTAAATGGAAGTTCATCGATGATAATCATTTTTGCTATACCCTTCCTAAGTGCGTCTGCGCTATACTTCCCCAAAGTTATTGGCACATTTCCCTCCCCATCAACTGTTCCGCATATTAACTCAGTTTGATCATCATCCCCTTTCTCACGAGGAAAGCTCACACAATTTTTTAAATGGTTTTTCAAAGAGCTTGTACCATTACTTTTAGTATTTGCAGCAAATTCTCTACCACAATGATCACATCTAGCTTTATGGAGTAAAACATCATCTTTAGTAATGGTAAATCTAGTAAAATGCGCCCAAACCTCAGATCTTGTTGAAGGTGCGCTCCTTTCCTTCCTCTTAGGTCTAGAAGATGAGGACTTTACCCTACTTTCTTTAGTAATTGATGCATTTTGGGCTTCATTTTGTTTTTCACATTGTGAATCATGGGAAGCTATTGACTCCATTGACTTTGCTCTTGACTTTTGATCTAATCATGAATAATGAAAAAACAAAAAATTAGTTAAACAAAAAAAAGTTAGTTGGATGCCGCAACAAGCTATTACATTAAACATGTAAACCTTTAATAAATAAAGCAAAGAAAATATACTCTGTGTAAATGTGTAATTGCTGGGAAAACTTATGTGGCATTGATTTAATGTGCTAAAAAAGTAAAGAACTATCTTTATTTGGCAATCAAAAGAAAAAAATCAGAACGAAAAGAATAAAAAAAAAGAATTGGTGACGCGAGAACAGAGATGCACAAACCTGCTGCCGATTGGTGACGCCGACGCCGGAACGAAGATGGTGATTGCGAGCTCTTGGCGTGCGTAAATGGTGAGGACCGAGAAGTCGAGAACCCTAGAAGATGAGAACGACGGTTGGGGACTTGGGGGAGACGGGTTGGGACTTGGGAATTGGGTAGGGAGAACTGAGAAGAAGGGCTGGGAATTGGGTTTTTTAAGTGGGCTGGGAATTGGGTTTTTTAACTGAGAAGAAGGGCTGGGCTTACATATATAATACTCGTATATTTTAATAAACATATTGTGGGCTCGGTTATTCGGTCGGTTTCGGTTAACATCGCTCAAAACCGAAATCGAAACCGATAACCGAATTAACCGAATTATTTTGAGATTAAAACCGAAAACCGAAACCGAATTTAAAATTGCGGTCGGTTCGGTTAAAGTGTATCGGTTAATCGGTCGGTTCGGTTAAATTGCTCACTCCTACCGTTTAGGAACTAGGAAAAAAAGGGAGAAATAAGTGAAAAAGAAAATCGAGCCTAACTAGAAAAATCTAGAACCAAGCCATATATTTGGATCCGTCAAACGTTTGGGGACACAAGTCACACAACAAATTCCGCCCAAAACTTTCGTGCCCCATACAATCCAGATCTAGGGTTTCATTGCGTTCTCTTGTGCGATCTGAAAAATGGACTTCGATTTGGACGACAAAGATCGTACGTTCATCTCTCATTCACCCACCTGGGATGATGCAGAACCCGAGCTAAAGAAGCAGAGGCTCTGCGTCGGAGACAGCGATGGAAGCAGCGGCGAAAACAACAGCAATGGAAGCGGCAGCAGCAGCAGCAGCGGCCTCAGCACCGTATTCATTGGGAACGAACATGACGATGTGTACTTTGAGAAGTTCAAGTACGTGCTTGAGCCAGAAGACTACGAGAACTGGACTCAGGAGCGAAAACGACAATCATCAGCTAGATATCTCCAATGGCTACTATCTCGACTTTATTCCAGCAATCTATGGTCGGTATGGGATTAGAGCTATAGATTTAACTGGCGAGGATTATCTAGGTCGTTTTTTCCCACCTCTCATGAGGTGCATTGAGGTTGCTCTGAAAAAACAAAAGGTTTGTTTATGTTCATTCTTCTGCCTTTTTCTTTGTTTCTTTTTTGGTTGCAAATATGTACACATATACATATATATTCCCATTATTTAGGAGGAGGAACTGGAATTGGTTGGCATAGTGAGGGCCAATTACGATATTGGCTATGGCTTTGTGTATTGGATAACGATGGACGTCAGGGATAAAGGTTTTAGAGAAATCAAAACTTGCATTTGTAAAGTACACTATGGAGTTAAGGGTGGGGCTGAGGATGATATGATTGTTGAACATTTCAAGTTTATCCCTTCAAATTTTAAATATATGCAAGGTAACCCTATGTTTCTCGGCTTTGATTTATATAATATGAATTCGTGTCCATATATGTATTTCTTGGCTTTGATTTATATGATATGAATTCATGTCTATATATGTATAATGTATTTCTTGGCTTTGATTTGATATGTGGAGTATGAATTTGTGTCTGGTTATATATCTAGCATCATTATTAATTTAGATGGGTTCCTTTGTTTCTTTGTGTAATTTTTGTTAAACACGGAGTATAATGTTGAAGATTTAGCTCTAGGTTCCTCATAAATTTTGGTTTATTATATTTATGTGTTTAGCATTTATATATGAGAGTAAATCTTAAACCAAATATTTGGTGTAATCTTAAACCCAATATTTGGTGTAAGATTGTTACACCAATTCTATTGGAGTACTTATGGAGCTCTTATCGTAAAATTACTTGTTCATACTCCCATAACCCCCGGTAAACCCCCAGCCCGTCTTGTCCCTAACACACCCTTGCACCCCCTCTAATTGTACCACTCAATTTTTTTTTGACTTTGGGGTCATATAAGGTATAAAAAATGGGCAGTGCAATTAGTAAATGTGTATTAACTTCTCTTACACTACAAGAGTTTTTTCATGTTAAATTGCATTTGTTCTCTTGCAGCCGTAGCATTTTGTAGTTATATGAATAATTTAGACCTACTGCCCTTTTAAAACTCAACGCACTTAAATTTGATACATGAATGCAATCCCCAGGAGTTAAGAAAGAGAAATATTGCATGTGTTCAACTATATATTATTACAATGAAGAAGATTGTTGGATGCATATATATCTCATATTATCTTGGACATTATGATAATGCATCATGTGCCTTGGATGCCTGAAGTTTTGTAATCTTGTGTTTTATGGTGTATGCAGAAACAAGTTTGAATGAACAAGCTTCAAGCGCTTTTGCTACTGCTTGAATCTTGAGTTATCATACATAAGTTCTTGACCAATTGCACTATGTAGGTGCAGTACTATATTATTGAACTCTACAACTTGTGTCAATGGGCTTGTTTGTATGAATTGCTATAAGTTTATGAACATGTATATCTTGGCTTTGATATGCAATGTATGAATTTGTGTCAGTATATTTTTCCCGCATCATCATTAGTTTAGATGTTTTCCTTTGCTTCTTTGTGGAATTATTATTTGTTACATATAATATACTGTTGAAAGGCTAGCTATAGGTACCTGGTTAGTTTTGGTTTCTTTTATCTATGTGTGTGACATTTATATATTACTCCCGCCGTCCCATTTTAAATTGCTTATTTTTTGTCCATCCCAAAATAAGTTGCCTATTTCTCTTATAATAATAAACTTTTAAGGGTAAAATACCTAAACTACTCATAAAATAAGCCACTCATCTTTACCTTATCTTCTCATTCATCGCCATCCCCGTAAAAAAGCAAGGCAATTTTGAATAGTCAACACTATTTTTACCCCTCCTTAAATATGCCCCAAAGTCAAAACAGGCAATATAAAATTAGACAGAGAGAGTAACTACTAAAGTAGAGGAGACATTTCATGTGAAATTGCATTTGTTCATCCTCTGCTCTACCATTTTTAGTTTTATAGACAATTTAGACCCACTGGCAGTCTGCCCTCTTAATACATTATATGCGTCTCTTTAACTAATATTTCAATAGGAAAAATTTGTTGGATGCTAATGTCTCATAATATCTTGGACTATTGTAGGAACAACTCTGGATGAACAAGCATCAAGCCTTTTCGGGGAGATTGGATATTGAGCCACCGTAGATATTATTATTTGCATGAGATGAGCTCTTGACTAATTGCATTCTGTAGATGTAGTGTTATATTAGTTATTGAACCCATATAACTTCATATCAAAAGGACTTGTCTATATTGGCTAGTAGTAGCCCATAACTGTATTTGAAATCCCCAATGGAATTGACATATACAAATGAAACCTCCAGTCAAAATTTCCAAATGCATATGTGTAAAAGGTTTGAAAAGTCTTATGAATACACACATACTATGTTATTTCTAAAAACATGGGAACATTAATTTATATTTGAACTAAACATTAGTCTTTATTAAGATATGGGTCCTTGCAAAAAGTTGTAAGTTAAGAGTAAACTCCTAATTATATACCTAGTACTTTGTAGAAATACAAAAGAATTAAAAGAAGTAGCGGTCAACTAATTATATTGCATATACTTTGTTGTTCTAGACATATATTGGGTCATCTTTGTATTCGCATCGATCGAAGCAATATACAATATTGAAAACTGAGTCTTGATCTACCTGTCTAGGTGCCAGCCCAAGATTTGGTGAATTTTGTGCCCCATCATCATTCAAATCATTTCATCAATGACCTAAGTAAGGTGTTTAGACATGCACCGCGTGAGGATGTGTTTCTTGATAGAGACTGTCCATTTGTAGGGAAATCTGAGGAGGTAAACCCAGAAAACGCAATTAAGTATTCTGTAATTAATTATAGTATGCACCAATATTTTACAATTTTATACGTTTTTTGTAATTAAGATCTCATTTTTTCTTATTAATATTTTATCAATTTGATTTATAGGAGAAAAACGCTATATTTATTAGTGATTTTAAAATAATGTTTGACGTCAATAAAATAGAGTTAATAAAGATAGTTCGGCAACAACCGGTTGTGGTGGAGATGTAAATGACAGAGGAGCTCAAAGAATTGAACAAGGTAATTATTTTTTTAACTTTACTTGATATAATATGTTGTTTAAATTTAGTGGCACTAACTCTGCACTAGAAAAGCTACTGGTTTGGAGTTGGCTTCCTTTATTTATTTTTTTTCGTTGGTTTCTACTTTGATAAGTTGAATTGAGTAATAAGATTAAAATTCTTGAATTGATATTGGTTTTGTTAATAATAGTTATTTAAAGTTGGTGTTGCACTTGGTCATATATGGCTACTGATGCGATTGGTGTGAATGCTAATCTGATGACAAAATGTTTAGGCTTTGTTTGTAGTTGTATGATACACATTTCGAGTCTTTGAGTTTTTATTGTAGGGTGATCTTTTTCACCTTCTCTTTTTTTCTTTTCTCTTGTTTTCCTTCTCTTTAGAGGCTATTGGTGGTTTGCTTTTCCACTTTGTCCCTTTTCTCTCTTTTTATAGAACTACATTCACTATATATTTTGATGTTGTTTGAACTTTATGGTGAAATATGCGAACGCCTAACGAGTGCTTCCGACATGAAAGAAAATCAGGCAATGGAGTATTCGTCGATCGTAATGTTCTGATTGTTGGATTTGATATTGATCCTGATGGCAATAATTATTGATGGATAAAACATACATGAGAAGACTATTGGGCAAATGGAGGCTACGACAAAATAATAAGACAATCGAGCACGAGTAACAACTATTCCTTGTTTAGTAGCACATATTATCCTATTATTTATACAGTTTTTTTATACAATATAGTATAGAGTATTACAATAGATACAGTGCAAAGTATTGCATATTTATGCAATACTTCGTATTATATTGCATAAAAGAACCGTCTAAATAATAAGATAATATGTGCTACTAAATAAGGAATGGTTGTTACTCGTGTACGACTGCCTTATTATCTATCCGTAGCCGCCATTTTACCCATTCGTCTCTCCATGTATTTTTTATCCATCAATAGTTGGTGCCATCATGATCAGTATCAAATCCAATAATCTGAACAACATGCATTAGCGAATACTCGAGTGCCTTCTTCTCTTTCATATTGGAAGCACTTGTTCGGTCTTTGTATATTTCATCATAGAGTTCAAAAATCATTACATTATATAGTGAGTTTAGTTCTCTAAAAAGGGAGAAAGAACAATGTGGGAGGAGAAAACCAATGGCCCCTAGAGAAAAAGAAAGCAAGTGGGGGAAAAAAGATATGGTGAAAAAGATCCTCATACAACAAAAGGTCAAAACTTCCAAATTTGTATAATACAACTAGAAACAAAGTATAAATATTATGTTATCAGATTGGCAATCACATCAGTAGCCAATATGACCAAATGCAAGACCAACTTCAAACAAATTTTACTAACAAAATAGTATGAATTGAAGCATTTTAATCTTATAACTCAATTCAAATAATCAAAGCAGAAACCAACAACAAAAAATAATTAAATAAAACAAGCATATTCTTTAATGCAGGTTCAACACCAGTATCTCCAAAACAGTAGCTTTTCTACTGCAGAATCAGTGCCACTAAACTTAAACTACATATTATATCAAGTAAAGTTATAAAAATAATTACATTCTTCAATTGTTTGAGCTCCTCTGTCATTTTCCATCTCCTCCACAACCAGTTGTTGCCGAACAATCTCTATTAACTCTATTTCAATGACGTCCCACATTTCTTTAAAATTACTAATAAATATAGTGTTTTCTTCTATTAATTAAATTGATAAAACATTAGTTAAGAAAAGAATGAGATCTTAGTTACAAAGAATGTATGAAGTTGTAAAATACTAGTGCATACTATAATTATTTACAGAATATCTGATTGTGTTTTCTGGGTTTTGGCTCCTTGGACTTTCCCACGAATGGATAGTTCCTCTCAAGAAGCACACATGCTGCGCATGTCTAAACACCTTATTTAGGTCATTGATGGAGTGGTTTGGTTTGAATGATGGTGGAGCACGGAATTAGCAAAATCTTGGGCTGACACTTGAACATATAGCTCAGGATTTGGTTTTGCAATGTTGTATGCAGCTTCGATTGATGCGGATACAGAAATAGCCCAACATTTGTCTTTAATAACAAAGTATATGCAAAGTAATTAGTTGTTGTTTGCTTTTTTTAAATTCTCTTTGTATTTCTACAAAGTGCTGAGTATATAATTAGAAGTTTACTTTTAATTTGAAGCCTCATTGGGCTAACCAATTTGCTTTGTCCTCGCCAATCAATAAATGGCTTTTCGCCAGGACCCATATCCTAATATAAAGTAATGTTTAATTCAAATATAAATCAATGCTCCCATGTTTTTACGAATAACAGAGTAGTATTTGTGTATTTTTAGAACACTTTAAAAAAGAGAGCAGAAAGGGTAAGCTTACTCTTTCCACTTGGAAAAATAGAGATGGCTAAAGCAAAATAATAAACAATTATATTAGTATTATTTTAAAACATTCCGACTTTAATTCTAATGATGTCTCTATCTCAAGGTTAAAGTAGGGAAAGAGAGTAGTATTTGTTTATTTTCTATTGAATTTTAATCGGTTGACCCATACTAAACAAATTTTGCCCAAAACTCTCTGCTATCCTGATACAGCATAAGGGAGAGCCACGCTCTAAAAGCTAGCTGTTAAGGTGGGAGAATCATTGGCTATATAAACCCATCACCAAGTTCCCCATTTAACCAGTGTGGGACAATGAAATCAGTCCGTATCATATCCTCAAATCCCAAATCTCTACGGTTTTCTCCTGCGGTCCCTTGAACATTCTGAAAAATGGAATTGGCTTCGGACGAGAAGGATTTTAGGTTCACCTCTCATTCCCCCACTTGGGATGACGCAGAACCCGAGCTGAAGAAGCAGAGGCTAGGTGGAAAAAGCGATGGAATCGGCAGCGGTAGCAACAGTAATGGAAGCAGTGGAGACAGCAACAACAATGGAAGCGGAGTCACCAACGTCTTCATTGGCAACAATCAGGATGATGTCTACTTTGAGGAATACAAGTATATGCTATTATCTCGGCTTTGTTCCGGCCTTTCCACTTTGGACAGGGCCTAGACCTATCAATTTCACCAAAGAAGATGATCGAGATAGTTATGAAACACAAATTATGAGGTGCATCGAGGTTGCTCTAGGAAAGCTAAAAGTCTGTTTGTTTGTGTTCATCCACCTCTCTTTCCTTCGCTTAATTGTTTGGTTGCTTATTTACCTTCCCATTAATTAGGAGAAACTGCAACTGGTTGGCATAGTGAGGGCCAATTACTCTTTTGGCTATGGCTTTGTGTATTGGATAACTATGGATGTCAAGAACAAAAATACAGGCGAAATCAAAACTTGCATATGTAAAGTCCACCATGGAATTAAGGCAGGAGACGAGGATGATATGATTGTGTTGAACATTTCAAGTTTATCCCTTCAAACCTTAAATATCCATCTGCAAGGTGACTGTTGTTTTTTGCTCTTGGTTTCTTGGATTTGATTGACTGAGTATGAATTTGTGTCCATATATATCCAGCATCATCATTGTTATCCAGCATCAATAGTTTTGGTTTCTTATGTCTATGCTCTCAGCATTTATTTTTTCAACTTCTAAAAAACTAGAGACATTTTCATAGTAAATTAATTGCATTTGTCTCTTGCAGCTCCAACATTTTTATGTGTACAAACAATATAAACCCACTGCCTTAAAAAATACATTGGATACTTCAAATTGATAAATAGTTGCAATCCACAAGAGATAAGAAAGAGATATGCCTCAGCTGTTCAACTATTACATAGTAAAAGGTTGCTCATATCCCTAAAAACTTTGTTGGATGCATATATGGTAATATGTTGTGTGCGTTTGCTTCAGATTTGTAACTTTGTGTCTCATGTTGTATGCAGGAGCATTTTTGAATGAACAAGATTCAAGTCTTCTGGATCCTGCTTGAATCTAGAGCCACTGTAGATATTGTTGGCATGAGATGAGGTTTTTGACTTATTGAACTGTGTAGGTATAGTGTTATATTATTGATCTCATGCAACTTCATGTCAATGGGGCTGTCCTTATTAAATGTTCTAACTTTTATGAACTCGTAACTTCTGCTGTGGGTTGGGCCGTTGGGTTCAATATTGAACAAATATTTGCTACAAGAACAAATATGCCTACATTTTTAAAAATTGCAATACTTGACTCAGTACTCTAATCTGGTTTTTTAAAATGATTTATGTAGTACTTAAAAACCTTTCATGCTATGACCAAATCTGAGTGCGAATTTAGAGGAGACATTTCATGTTAAATTGCATTTGTTCTTCTGCAGCTCTTGCATTTTTTAGTCATATAAACAATTTAGACCTACTGCCTTTTTTAAAAACTCTAGATTCATCAAATTGATTAATGAATGCAATCCGCAAGAGATTAGAAAGAGACATAATGCATCTGTTTAGCTTTTATTTTCAAGAGATTGTTGGATGCATTTATGTCTCATATCGCCTCGGTCATTATTATAATACGTTGTGTGCATTGCTTCAGATTTTGCAACCTTGTTGCTCATGTCATATGCAAGAAGTACATTGAATAACAAGCATCAAGAACTTTCAATACTGCTTGAATCTTGAGGCATCATTGATATTATTTGCATGAGATGAGCTCTTGAGTAATTGCACCATATAGGTGTAGTGTTATTTTCTTCGATATTCAGACGTTTTACTCGATTCTCCAGAGAAAGAGGTGAGAATTTTTCCAATCTTGCATATGGGTTTTCAAAATGTAGTGTTGGATATTACTCTGTATGCAAGAGGAACTTCACCATAATGTTTCCCTTCCTTATATATCCTCCAACTCTCTTCCACAGAGAGAAAGAAAAGAAGACTATCTGTAAAGCCCATGTTTGGGCACTAAAGCTTCTTTGGCTGCCTTTTTTTGAAAGGCTCTCCATCTCCATTTGACCTTGTCCAGGTCCTGCCCTGGGCACTAGGCCCTTACTGCCGTACTGTGTCCCATGCTAAGTGCTTCTATCAAGTAACCAAAAGCAAGGGTTTTTTATGCAGATTTTTATCTAACTGGTCTTATTTTTATCTGTTTTGGCTTTGTTATAGTAGATGAGTTCTTCACCGACTCCATCCTTGGGTCAGCAGGACCTCAATCGGTTGAAAAAAATCCCTAGTGATGATGGAATGTAAGGGTACCCTCTAAATACCAAAGAATTAGTGGTTCAGAACTATGATCACAGAGAGATGACAATGCATAGAGACCATTTCTTACCGGGCTTTGCTGTCCCGAAGCTTGTTGTTTAACTATTTAGACATTATTATTATAGCTTTCAGAGCAGGTAATTCGTGTTTCCGCTGAATATATCTTCCAAACTAAGATATAATTTAGGTTTGTATTCAAACCGTTTCAGCTTGAGCTGCGATCTGATTCTGCAATGTTGTATTCCGCTCATACGAAACACGACGATGCTCATGAGCCCAGATTAGATTACTGCAATAGTAGATTGTTGCCTAATTTAGGGTGCATTAACACTATGTTTGGTTCATGGAATTTGCCTTGGAAAAGAGAAGAATGTGATAAAAATAAGATCTTGTTTGGTAAGAAGGGAAATGAAAAAAAGGGCGAAAGTAAAAATGGAAAAGTTTTCCTTCCATTTTGGTGTAACCGGAACGCGGTCTTGTTTTCGAGCCTAGAAGAAATCTTTGAGTTCTCCATTTCATTTTGGAAATCTACTCTGGCCTCTTCTGCATTTTTCTTGAGAAAAAAAAGTTTTCTCAAGAAACAAGTTCAATCGAGTTTGAGTATATTGAAATTCGACCCGATTTAGGCCATGTTCAGAATTGATTTGGCGGGTCACTTTTGGATATTTCTTTTTCCAGTTCGAATTTGGTATAAGATTCGGTCAGATTGGTTACGGTCAAATTCGGATTTAAATATTAATGAAATTATTTCATGAAATATTTAAGATTAAAATACATTTCAACTTTAAATTTTAAAGACAACATAAATTTAAGATATAAAAAATATAATTATCGAATGACCCTTGAAAAAAATTACTCGGGACAAATAGTAACTTTCAACTTATATTATACAGAGGGGCAAGATTTCCATGACATTAGAAACTAATGTTATGGGATGATTCGGGCGCTCTAGTGCCCCGTTTGTAAAATTGAAGGTTCCTACCCCCTAACTCCCGGTAAACCCCCCCATCCTGCCCCGACCCGAACACATTCCTCCTACCTCTTCAATTGCACCCCACAAGTTGATTTTGACTTTGGAGTCAAATTTTGACTTTAAAGTCAAAATCAACTTGAGAGGTGCAATTGAAGAGGGTAGGAGGAGTGTGTTCGGGTCTGAGGCGAGGTGGGGGTTTACCGGGGGGTAGGGGTGGTAGGAACTGTCAATTTTACGAACAATGCACCGGAGCGCCTCTGGGTCATCCCATGACATCGTTACCAATGTCATGGGAACCTTGGTGTATACAGAGTACACAGAAAAAAACATAAGGGTGACACACAAGATCCATCCACAATAAAACATGAAACAGAAAGAAATCTAATACTCCCTCTGTCCCATTTTATAACGTCTGTTTCGGTTTACGATGTTTGGCTGCAATTATTTTCAAATCATTTTATATGACAAATGGTATAGAATTAAAAAATAAAAATTACATATTAAAAAACTACATCAAAAGATCTACAAAACTAGTAGTGACAATAATATTTTATTTTATCAAATTGCTAACGAAAATAGAGAAAGAAAGTAAATGAAGTTTGACCCTGTGAATAGTGAACATGCATTATAATTTGGGACGGTAGGAGTAAGTTTTAAAATATTTAAAACATGTACATAACAATTTTATGGAATATAGAAATTTAGACTTTTTAAAAAACTTATTGAATGTTGGGCCCGATACGAGTCGAAGCAGTCAAATATTATCACCCAATCCAATTCGACAAAAGTTGGGTACGGTTTAAATTTTGGGTGCATGGTCCCATTCTAAATCTAGGGTTCTCTCCTGGTGCGGTTTGAAAAAATGGAATTGGCTACGGATGAGAAGGGTTCTAGGTTGATCTCTCATTCACCCACCTGTGATTATGCAGAACCCGAACCGAAGAAGCAGAGGCTCGGTGGAGACAGCGACGGGGACGGCAACGGAAGCAGCGGCGGCGTCATCTGCGGCCTCAGCAGGGTCTTCATTGGCAACGAACAGGACGATGTCTACTTTGAGGAGTACAAGTACATGCTCGATCCAGAAGATTACGAGAACTCCACTCTGGAGCAAAAACGACGGACGCTACTTTCATCAGATACATATCTCCAATTGCTATTATCTAGACTTTATCCCGACTTTTCCCCTTTGGACAGGACCTAGACCTATAGATTTGACAGACGAAGATGATCGAGATAGATATGAAAAAAAAGTCATGAGGTGCGTCGAGGTTGCTCTGGAAAAGCAAAAGGTATGTTTGTTTGTGATCATCCTTCTCCAATCGCCCTTAGTTTTTTTTTGTTGTTTAATTACCTTCCCATAATCCCATTATGTATGTATGTTATGGATGCTCACTTTTTTGTTACCCTCACGCACTTCATTTAATACACTCCACCCATTTTCATTAAAGATATTTTGGTAAACTCTCACTTTTTTTTCAACTCTTCTTAAAAACCACCGGATTCTTTACAGGTGTAAGGGGGTATATTTATAGTAAAACTACAATCATTGAGGCAACAGTCCTGAGGTATTGAGTGGCATCATGTAGTGCATCATTGTCGTGTTGCTAATGGAGTGTTCTCACCCAAATTTAGTGTTGTCACTTAGCTCATAGATGTATGACTCTTCTTCATACGCTCCATGTTCAATCTGTGTCGCATTGCACTTGTAAGTCTCTCCGTGGCTCTGGGTGGCAAGGTGAATCCAACGGTGTCCTTTAATAGGCGTCTGGTCGACCCATGAAGGTGGATGACTAGTTAGGTTTGTGCAGCTGGCTTGTAGCCCATGCACGAACCGTGATGAGTCAACCAGTTGATTTAGGTGGGATGACCACGGGCGCATGGCACTTGTCGAACTAGGCCCTTTGGGCTTCTCCTACTAGGGATGAGAAGGGTTGTGGCAAGTGTGGATTTACCTCTCCTTCACCCACCATGGATGATGGAGAACCCAAAGCGGAGAAGCATAGCCTTAGTTGTGACAGCGCAGTTATGACAACGTCGTATTCATTGAAAATGAGCAGGACGATGAGTACTTTGAGGATTGCATTAGATTCGTATTTCTAACTGTTACTAACTCGACTTTGCTCCAACATTTCACATTTGGGTTGCGCCTAAACCCATTGATTTCAGGGACGAGGATGATCAAGAGGGTTTTCTCCCATTATCGAGGTTGCTTTGGCAAAGCAAAAGGTATGTTCGTGGTCATGACTCTCCCTTCCTTTGTTTAGTTTCAGTTGCATATTCATAGTAACATTATTTAGGAGAAACTGGAATTGGTGAGCATAGTGAGGGCCAATTACGACATTGGTCATGGCTATGTGTATTGGATAACTATAGATGTCAGGCACAAACGCACTTGAGAAATCAAAACTTGCGTTTTTAAAGTACACTTTGGAGTTACGGGCGGGACTGAGGAAGAAATGATTTTCGAACATTTCAAGTTTATCCCTAACCCTTGCTCTTTTTGCCATGGCTTTCTTGGCTTTGATTTATGGAGTATGAATTTATGTCCAGGATCATCATTACTTTAGAATCTTGAGATGGGCTCCTTGTTTGTTTCTAGAATTGTTTTTACATATAATGAGATCATTTATGTTGCAAACTTAGTCCCCCATTAGTTTTGGTTTACTATATTATCAAGGCAAAGAGGAGGCATTTATGTTGGGATCATTTATATCATTTTTTTTACGATACTAGAGAAGGCATGCATCTCCATCAGTTTTTAGTTATATAAACAATTAGACTCACCGCCTTTTTAACAATTTAGATACTTCAAATGGATTATAGATACATGATTGCAATACTGAACCGAACACAGTGTTGGCTGTTATTTCACCACTGCATGAACCTCTTTTAATCGCAGGAACAAGATCTTGTCTGATTCCAGCCTTGTTTTCTGGAAATTTAGAGAGAAGGTTTGTGTCAGTATGTCAAATTAATGGGACGAGCTGATAGTGAGGATGCAGTACCTTGTGTGAAGCTGATAGTGAGGATGCAGGCCATTACTGTGCAGCTGCCCTTATGGGAGTGCTGTTTGGGTCAAGTTTAGCTCTTGGGCTAATATGAAATTCCAGGCTATTTCAATATAAGACAGGGAAGAGTTAGACTTGTTTAATTTGTGGTAGGTTTTGGTTGTTTCATTGGCTTTGGTCTGTGTATGATTGTTGGATGATTGTTGATGTGGATTGACATTTCTGTGCTTGGTTCAAAAAAAAAAAACTAAGATTTCTACATGATCTAGAGTGTAGTATGTCAAAACATACTCCTCAAGGGCCTTTGTCATATATCAACATGAAATTGTGTGGTTGCGATTTATGCAAAAGTGAAGAATTTAGTCAATCCAATTTTTGAAGTTCGTTAGTGGTCCTCAGGAAGCAGTCAGGTTGCGTATATCTGACCCCTTCTTACCCTACCATAGAGGGAGACTTTGAGGTACTAGGGTAGTGCTGTTTTTGTTGGGAGCAAGCAAGGGTTGGGAGGCCAATAGCCAAGTCTTGCAAATTTTGCCAAGAACATGTTTCGTAATGTTGATAGAGCATTTGATTTATCATTAATGAGAAACTGTCTTAGAAATCATGTCTAAGAACATGTTTTCTAATTTTAAAAATAGATGAAAATTACTTAAAAATGCACCCCGATTTAGTACTATGTTGATCTTTTTTTTGGGGGGGGGGGGGGGGATAAAAGTACAATGCTGATCTAAACCAAAAATGAATTAGAATTGGATAATTTAATTTCATGCAAATCAATTTCATAGAATTTTAATTTTCAATTCAATTCCAGTTTCGTTAATTTTGTGTATCAAATGGACCTTAACACTTCTTTTTATAAGTAATACTCGAAGTGACAAATGGGGAAAAGGTTCATGTCTTTTTCAACTCTCGATCTCCATATAATATGCGTGCTGAATCAAAGCGTAGAAATCAGAGTACGCCGTAATTAAAACGAAGAGAGAAAGAATAATGATAATTGGTAATGAGGTGTAATGTTACAAATATGTCGATACAATGAGACCATTCTTTTAGGGACTAAAAATGACCATTTCATTCCACAAAGATCACACATCAGGCCAATGCGCCCCAATAACTTAGTAGCCATTTAGGCGCGACATATTCCCTTTGGTTATATAATCGTGTGATTTCTACTAATTTAAAACTCAATTTTCTTCATAAACTCTCCGAACGAAATGGCAGAGAACTTTCCATATTTTATATCTTCTCTTGGTGTTGGAGATTTATTTTGAATTCAAAATTGAATTTTAAATAAATGGGCACAACTCTTTGAAGAGATATGATTATTCTTAAATGACATCTCTTGAATATTTATTTTGAATTTAAATGGGAAGTTTTTAATTAAATGGGTGTGTCTCTTACAAAAGAGACATGATCATTTATAAAGGGGCATATTATTTTCTATAAATAGGGCCCATGTCACAATGCAAAAGGAAAGAAAAGAGAGTGAAAAATATGTTAGAAAAATGATTTATTATTAATTATTATTTCATTGATTATTTAGAATAATGAAGAAATAATGTATTTATTTCTTTTATTTATTCTATGACAATGAAATATTAATTAGTGTATCTTTCTATATTTTTTCGTCTCCTTTGTCTCGAGACAAGTCTCGTTAAAGTACATTAAAAAATTGTTTCGTAGAGCAACCGAACAGTTTGGTCTTTTTCATTGTATCCCAAAAGTTCTATCTTGTAACCCTTGTTGCTTATAATATGGTAGATAAGAAACTTTTAGGAAAGCGTTTTCAAGGATCACGCGCCTTGAAGGTTTATCCAGTTAATTTAACCAACCATGTTTTGAACTACGTGTAGCTTGATCCCCTTCATTGGGGTACGTAGGCAACTTAGAATGATTTATTTTTCTAAGTGCAGTCACAATAATAAAATTATTTTTTATTGTTCCAACCGTTGGATGGGTAAGCGTTCGTTTAACTACCAAATAAAAAGGTAACCCAATGTGATCATGACATTATAGGTGCTAGCGATGGGATGAACGTGACTTCTCTCAGTTGGTTTAAGTTGGAGTGAAATTAAAAAATAAAAATGGCTTGGAGTATATATTTAAAAACTATATAAAAAAATTTCAAATTAAGAGGTGACATAATTATGTTGTTCTATCAAACAAATAGTGAATATAGTAAAAAAATGAATTCAGTTTGACCTTTTAAATATTGAACATATGCTATAATTTGAATAGGGAGATTATACAAAACAAAAACTTAACTTTGAAAAAAATTAATTTAAAGTTAATGAATTATTAAATATAAGAAAAACATACAAATAAGTACTATGAGAAAACCCTTCCTAGTTTGATTTTTCATCTTTGCCATAAATTTTGAAAAAGTAATTACTTACTTCCTTCGTTCAATAATTTCTTTCTCACTTTACTTTTTGAATTGTCTAAAAATTTCTTTCTCGTTTCTTAATTTGGAAAAAAGTTTAATAAATATGTTATCATATCCTTAGTTTCTATATTATTCACTTTATTTTATCACATTAATAACAATACATGAAAATTCTTTACACTTTTTATTTTTTCATGATCATCATATCAAGTTATACCGAGAAAAAAAATTTTAAATGAGAAATTGGGCTTAAGGTCACCCAAGGGCCAAGGCCCAAGCAAGTACTCTCCCCGAGTAGGAAAAGAAAAGAAAATCTTGAACCACAGCTCAGCGCCACCTCAGCCCATATATTGATGAGTCATACGTTTGCGGACACAATAAATTCCGCCCAAAACTGTTCGGTTCCCCTCAAATTCTTAATCTAGGGTTCTCTCCTGCGCTCTTCTGTGCGATCTGAAAGATGGAATTGGCTATGGATGACAAGAGCCGTATGTTCCCTTCTCATTTACGCACCTGGGATTGTGCAGAACCCGAATTGAAGAAGCAGAGGCTCGATGGAGACAGCGATGGAAGCGACGGGGACGGCAACAGCAACTGAAGCAGCGGCGACAGCAACAGCGATGAAAGCAGCGGCGGCGTCATCTGCGGCCTCAGCAGCGTGTTCATAGGCAACGAACAGGACGATGTCTACTTAGAGGAATACAAGTACATGCTGGAGCCAGAAGACTACGAGAACTCTACTCTGGAGGAAAAACGACAATATGGACGCTACTTTCATCAGATAGATATCTCCAATTGCTATTATCTCGACTTTATCCCAACCTTCCCCCTTTGGACTGGGCCTAGACCTGTCGATTTCACAGATGAGGATTATGAAGAGAATTTTGGAACAGAAATCATGCGGTGCATCGAGGTTGCTCTGGGAAAGCAGAAGGTCTGTTTTTTTGTGTGTTCATCCTTCTCCCTTTCATTTGTTTCCTTTTTTGGTTGCTTATTTACCTTCCCATTATTTAGGAGAAACTGAAATTTGTTTGCATAGTGAGGGCCAATTACTCTTTTGGCTATGGCTACCTGTATTGGATAACTATGCATGTTAGGAACGAAGATACTGGGGAAATCAAAACTTGCATATGTAAAGTCCACCATGGAATTCAGGCTGGAGACGAGGATGATATGATTGTTCAACATTTCAAGTTTATCCCTTCAAACCTTACATATCCATCTCAAAGGTAAGCATTTTTTTTTGCTCTTGATTTCTTGGCTTTGATTGTTGGGATATCTCTTATGCTCAATTACTAAGCATGTATTATGGCACATGTATGATTGTTTGGTTTGACTTCTAACAAATATGGAAATCATGAGAGTTTTTTTTCTAATGATTCTCTTATGGCCATGATTGAGATTTTTGGCTATTTAAGCCATTAGTTTTGAGAGAGAGAGAGAGGGAGGGAGGGAGGGAGGTTCTCACAGAGAGATAATATCAGTTGTTGTAATATTGTGATGTTATACTCCAATTGATACAATATTAAAAAGGCTATTTGAGAGGATTGTGTTTTTTTATTTAGTTGATTGGGGATTCCACATAAAAATTGTGTATTCCTCTCTCTAATTTTTTTGTGCACAAATTGTTCCTCCTATACTATTCTTGAGAGAGTGTTGTTCGAGGGTAAGTTTTCCCAACATTGATTGATGGAGTGTGAATTTATGTCCATATATATCCTGCATCATCATTATTATGAACCTAGTCCCGCATTAGTTTTTGTTTCTTATGTCTATGTCTATGCTTTCAACATTTATTTATCAACTTCTACAAAACTAGAGGAGACGGTTTCATATTAAATTTTATTTGTTCTGCAGCTCCAACATTTTTTATTTGTTATATACGCAGTAAACAATATAAACCCACTGCCTTAAATAAATAAATAAATAAAACTGGATACTTCAAATTGGTAAATGATTGCCACCTCTGTTCGACTGTTCAACTATTACATAGTAGAGTAAAATACTGCCCATATCCCAAAATACAGTGTTGGATGCATATATGCCTCGTAATATCTTGGACATTATGGTAATATGATGTGTGCCCTTTGAATTTGTAACTTTGTGTCTCATGTTGTAATGCAGGAGCATCTTCGAATGAACAAGATTCAAGTCTTTTTTATACTGCTTGGATTAGCTGTGAGTTCCAATAGAGTAATTGTCTTTTCTTTGTTTGGAGTTCCTTTGGCATGTCTGATTTACTGTGTTTTTAAGCTCAGGTCATGCTATTGGCTACTACTTTTTGCACTTTTAAGTTATCAGATTCATGTTGAGTTGAAATACAAATACTTTGTTATTTTTGAAAATATGGAAGTATTAATTCAATTGGTTTTAAATATTTTTCTTTACTAGGATGTGGGTCTAGATGAAGATCCATCTATTGATTGGAGAAGAAGAGAAGAGTTGGTTAGCCCAGTTTGCAACCAAATTACGAGTAATGTTTGAATTATATGAACTACATAGTTAATAGAAAAAGTAATGTTTAACTAATTAGGTTTTATGCAATTTTTTTATAAAAGATATATGTTGGCCATTTCAGTATCTGCAGAATAGAGGCTAGGCTTATGCAACATTGGTAAAGCTCATCACGACTAATTTGTTCTAGTGTCAACGCATAGCTTAGCTAACTCGGTACATCATTACGAGGATGATACCAACACATACATTACTCGATCATATTTGCATGCAAAGAGAATGGGGATTCTTCTCGAGAAGGAGTGCCCGTTCGTAGGAAAGTGTAAGGTCCCTAAAGATAGAAAGCAGAATCAGATTGTACATAGGATTACAGAACTAATTGGAGTATGGTCACGGCATACACGGAGTGTATGTGTCTAGGGAATATTGTTTGTGTGTTTTACTGTATTATATACTTCATATAAGACTAATCGCTTGTTTAAACTTATTTCATTAATATTTTAACCATTTAATTAATTTAACAGGAGAAACACGCAATATATATTTCTGACTAAACTTTAATAAGAAATGTCAATGAAGTAGAAATGCTAAAAATTGTTCGGAAGTAGCCTGTTGTGGCTGAGATCGAAATAACCTCAGAGCTTTGTTCCTTGCAGAAGGTAATTAAGTGTAATTATTAGTTAATTGGTGAATAATATAAATATTTCGGTAAATTTTTGAAAATGTTTATTTGAAGAAAATCAATTGTACTACTACTTAATTTTATACAATATATACTTTGATATAACTCTGTATATTTAACATTTTTGAATTTTAGGATAAGATATACAAAGGACCTAGTGATAATTGTTTTGCACTAAGAGCCTATTAAATATATAGATTTATATCAAAGCATATATTGTATAAAATTAAGTAGTAGTACAATTGATTTTCTTCAAATAAACACTTTCAGAAATGTGCCGAAATATTTATATCATTCGCCAAATGACTAATAATTATACTTAATTACCTTCTGCAAGGAACAAAGCTCTGGGGTTATTTCGATCTCAGCCACAACAAGCTGCTTCCGAACAATTTTTAGCAATTCTACTTCATTGACATTTCTTGTTAAAGTATAGTAAGAAATGTATATTGCGTGTTTCTCCATTTAAATTAATTAAATAGTTAAAATATTAATGAAATAAGTTAAAGCAATCGACTAGTCTTATATGAAATATATAATACAGTAAAACACATAAACAAGATTTCCTTGACACGTACACTCCGTGTATGTGATGACCAAACACTAATTAGTTCTGTACTACCTGATTTTGCTTTCTATCTTTAGGAACCTCACACTTTCCTACGAACGGACACTCCTTCTCGGGAAGAATCCACATTCTCTTTGCGTGCAAATATGGTCGACTAATGCATGTGATGGTATCATACTATCATCCTCGTAATAATGTACCAAGTTAGCTAAGTTCTACGCTGACACTTGAACAAATTGGTCGCGATGAGCTTTACCAATGTTGCATGCAGCCTCTATTCCAGCATATATCTTTTATAAAAAAAATCGCATAAAACCTAATTAGTTGAACATTACTTCTTCTTTTAACTATGGAGTATATAATTCAAACATTACTTGTAATTTGGTTGCGAAATGGGCTAATCAACTCTTCTCTTCTTCTCCAATCAATAACATGGATCTTCATCTGGATCCACATCCTAGTAAAGTAAAATATTTAAAACTAATTTCAATTAATACTTCCATATTTTTAAAAATAACAAAGTATTCTGTATACTCATCTCAACATGAATCTGAGAACTTAAAAATGCATAAACTAGTAACCAAGGTTTTTGAAGGGCGAAAACTAGCCTTGAGGTGGTGGAGCAAAATGCCTTGAAGCGTAAAGCCTTGAGGCGGAACGATGCGTAAGCCTCAGGTCAATATGAAAAAAACAATACTAAAATATGTACACCGAGGTAAAATGAAATGCATAACCCATTTTCATGTTAAATAAATGATAAAATCATAATTCTTGAATTTTACAAAAAATGATACCCTATCTTAATTTTTAAAACACAAATAGAATTATAAAGATTAAACACATTAACATAAACACAAATGTCTCAAACCCATCTTCAAACCTTATAAATATTAAATATGGGCAAAAGTTCACGCAAAAAAAAGTTACATCATTCTTTGAAGTTTAAACCGAATTTAAAAGAGGGAGAGGGATGTTAGAAAAGAAGAAACCGGAAAAATTAAAAGCTGAAAGAAGAAGATTAAAGAAATAGAAGATAAGCTATTAAATATGAAGTAATTGTCTTAGCGGTTACCACAAGAGTGAAGTTGTGCCACTGAAGTTTGAAGATGGAGAGAAGTACAATTGAAGATGGAGAGACGAAAATTGACGCTAAGTCTTGGAAAGAAGTGATAATTATCTACTAGGTTTATTAAGTTTTTCTTAAGAAACTTTATAATGCATTGGCCCAAAAGAGTTTTTGTATAAGAGGCCCAATAGCTTTTTAAAAATAACCCTTATAATTGTTGAAATTCTTATTAAAACTGAGGCTTACGCCTCTGTTACGCCTTACCGCCTTAGACCGCCTCAACATTGTGAGGCGTACGCCTTAGGCTACTGAGCCTCAGAGGCGAAATGCAATCGCCTTACCGCCTCACCGTCTCGAGGCGGACCACCTCGGTCGCCTTTTAAAATCATGCTGGTAACCAATAGCATGACCTGAGCTTAAACACACGGTAAATTAAACATGCCAAAGGAACTCCAAACAAAGAAAAGACAATTACTCTATTAGAACTCATAGCTAATCACACATTCTCCTGGAAAAACAATCTAAAACAATCTTTAGTGAGTCTAGTGCAACCACCTGTTGGCTAGCACAAAGATTGAGAGTGGCTAAACACAATATGGTTATGTTGAAGCACCCTTGACACTTAGACGTCCGTGAAGAAAGAGTACTACACAAGGTGACTTGTGCTTCCTCAACTCCTCTTGCCCTCGAGAGAAGGGCTTGACAAATAATCAGTGAGGAGACCCATTTTTGGTGAGAATGCCAGGAAACAACACACCAAGAGAGTGGATGTGTGTGTGTGTGTAACGAAAATCATATGAATTTGGGACTGAGCTATGTTGGTTTTTTGTGAAGTTGTTTTGAAAGTGGGAGCAGTGCTGGGAGTATTTGGCAAAGTAAAGCCAAGTGTTGTTGATAAGCCCCTAGAAAAGCTCTGAGATGCAATGCTAAACAAAATAAGGGGAAAAGGGGCTTTCAAGATCCATGGTTGTCTCCTCAGAAAAAAGAGCTCTAGTAATGAGATTGAGCCTCTTTTAAGAAATTGTGCAAGTAGTGTCTTATGAAATTTTCCAAAACAATAGTACCATTATTCAAGTGCCCTTACTGTCCCACGGAGATTGAACTGGCTCTTGTAAGATATTGTAATTTTGATGTGGTTTTTAGTGTTCCATTTGCATTAACTCCATTTGTGTGTGTGTTTTTCTACTTATGACCACCATTATATTTGCATTTTCTCTCTTTCAAAAAAAAAAAAATTGCAATTTGTGTTTGAAGAAGCTGAGGTCAAGTGTTACCTCTGGTCTTTCTCTCTTCTTCTGTCTACGCTGGCCCTTGCTTGCGCTGCCCCTATTCATTCTTGTGAAGCTTTCTGAAAACAAACAAAACAAATTCTTTATTATATGAAGCTTAAAATACATGAGTAAACAAAGTACAAATTAATGAAGCATATACCTTAAGATGTGTTGGCTGAGAGAAGAATTGAAGAAGGCACCTAAGAAGAAGAAGAATATCCAGGGCAGAGTGCTGCACATACAGGGAAAGGAAGTTAGGAGTACAGTGGAAAATCTAGCTATGTTGTGCTCAGTGTTTAACTAAGGGGCTGTTTGTTTCAGCCTCTTAATGGTTCAGATGTCTGAATGGTTCAGCACTTAATGGTTCAGACTGTTTGTTTCAATCTCTTAATGGTTTAGATGTCTGAATGGTTAAGAGATTTGCCTCTGAATGGTTAAGACCTCTTTTCTGAATTGATCAGACATTTTGCCTCTGAATAGTTAAGCAATATACTAGCTCTTAATGGTTCAGACTTCTTACTGGTTCAGCACTTAATGCTTTAGACCTCTTACTGGTTCAGCACTTACCGATTCAGAAGTTGCCAAACAGCCTCTAAGGTTTCATTTTTAAAGTATACGTACTCTAAATTTTTATCTCTTGATGGATCACATTACTAATTAAAGAATTAAAACTATTTATGTGCACCAAGATTCATAAGTTTTACGTACTAAAATATTATACATACGGAGTACTATATATGTGTGAAGTTTTAAATACATTCAAATTATGATGTTTGACTTAAATTATTTTTAATTTAATTTATTTAAATATTCACACAAATTTTAAAAATATAATGTATACTCCAGGAAATGTCAAAAAAGCATTTTAAAAATATATCAGAAAAATTTTACAAAATAAAATGTGACAAGACTATTTTGTTTTAAGATATGATCAATGAAAATATGAAAGTAAAAAAGAAATTGTACACACTAGTTTTAGTAGCTTACTTTGCATGGGTTTATATACACTCTAAAATCTTTAACCTTATAATAAAATTATATTAAAATCAAAACTAAAATATGATTTTATTTATTTTAATATTCAAATAATTTTATATATGTGATGGAGCAACATGCACCTCCAATATGTCCAAGGGTCAGGAATGAGTGTTTAGAGTAAGTAGAGTAAAGAGAAAGCTAGAGCGATAGGCTTGGTCTGGCTTCTCCTACATGGGCTGGTCCATTGGGGGATATAGGCCCGTCTTCTATCGGTATTATTTTTTCTGGGAGATTTTAAATACTCCCAAAACTTCCGTATGTAATTATCAATAACAGAGAATTTATATTGTTTGGTATAATACTTTCATTTATATCATAAAATCAAAATTTTTCATGTAAATATGTAAACTACTCGTTTTTAATTTTTAATGTTAATATAACTCCTTATTAGGATTACTTATTGGTGTTAAATTTCTAGGTTTTTTTACATTCAGTTTCAGTTTTTTTTGTAGCTCGTTTCGATCAATTTCAGTCTGGTTTGCGATTTTCGGTTTTTCCAATCCAACCGTAGGACTTTGTGGAACAAAGAAAGAAAAAGGAGAAGAAGATTATGGAAAGGATCGAGGGTATTACTTTCTCAATTCACTCTTTTCCTTTCACTCTACAACACATCCAATAGAACCTTTCTCAATTCATTCTTTTCCTTTCACTCTACAATACATCCCATAGAACTCTTATTTGTGAACTTTGGGAACAACACTGACAATATAATTAATGTTGATGTTTTGAATAGCTGTTTAATATGGTATGGTTTTCATATTGAGATGTTAGAGGTATATATTATTATATTGAAATTGTTGCATTGCCAAACAAGCCTAGACCGGCCTCGCAAAAAAAAATCGAGCTTGATAACTCAAACCGAACCCAAAAACTCAAAAAGTTAAAACCCGATAAATATTTAGGAATAGAGATAGTACTATTAAGGATATTTTTGTCTCATTAATTGCAATATTTTAGTTGATCAATGCTCAAAATAAAATAAAAGAATTAAACTACTTGTACATCAAAAGTTATACCACAAATTCTACACGGTATAAAATACTAAAGCAACTTTTTTAATCACACTAATATTACATACCCGTATATATAAACCATTAAAATGTTGTTACATAATTTTGGCGTATAATTTAGGATATAGGCCTTGTTTCGTTCAACTTATTTTTTTTGTTTTTTTCTTATTTTTATTAAAATCAAATCAGATCCAATCAAGAATTATTATTATTATCCTTAAAATGAAAAAGAATAATCTTTAGAAACAAGTTACATAGAAAACTAAGAAAGTAATCATTAAGTATTAAACGTCGAAAAAATTATTTTTAAAATACATTGACAATGTCAATCTAATTCTACTTTTAAAATATATTTTTATTGCTACTTGTAATTTTTATTGCTACATTTAAAATTTTAAAGATGACATAAAATTTAAAATATTATACGAAATACAAATAAAATAACACATGTCTCACACACAAGATTAAACCATAATAATAAAAAATTGTAATAAGTTTTACAACATTCAAATTGTGTGCATCAAAATACATGAAATATATAAGAATTTTAAGAATTTAGAATATTTAAAAATTTATTGAGAATTGGGTACAGATCAGAGATAAGTCGGATCAGTCAAATATAGTGATCCAAATCCTATACAAAAGTCTAAACCGCTCGGCCCATGTTTTGATGCGTCAAACGGATGCGTGGCTATGGATGACAAGGGTCGTATGTTCCCCTCTCATACACGCACCTGGGATTGTGCAGAACCCGAATTGAAGAAGAAGAGGCTCGATGGAAGCGACGGGGACAGCAACAGCGATGGGAGCAGCGGCGGCCGCGGCGGCGTCAGCCACAGCACCGTATTCATTGGGAACGAACAGGACGATGAGTACTTTGAGGAGCACAAGCACTTGCTTGAGCCAGAACACTACGAGAAGTGGACTCAGGAGGAAAAACGACAATACGGACGCTACATTCACCAGCTTGGTCTCTCTAATTGCTATTATCTCGACTTTTTCCCAACAATTATCTCTGGGTATGGGGCTAGACCCATCGATTTCAGCAATGAGGATTATGAAGAGTATTCTCTCGAGGTCAATAGGTGCATCGAGGTTGCTCTGGGAAAGCAAAAGGTTTGTTTGTCTTCATCCTTCATTCTCGTTTTTTTCATTGTATATTCTTTGATTGTGTATTTATATTCCCATTATTTAGGAGGAGGAACTGGAATTGGTTGACATAGTGAGGGCCATTCTCTCTACCGGTTATGGCTCTCTGTATTGGATAACTATGGATGTCAGGAATAAATGTACCGGAGAAATCAAAACCTGCATTTGTAAAGTACACCATGGAGTTAAGGGTGGAGCTGAGGATGATATGATCGTCGAACATTTCAAGTTTATCCCTTCTAACTTTAAATATATGCAAGGTAACCTTTTTTTTGCGTTGGATTAATTTATAGAATATGAATGTGTCCAGCATCATCATTAGTTTAGAATTTAGATGGGTTCCTTGTTCTTTGTGGAGTTTTTATGATTACACATAATGTTGCAAACCTAGTTGTACATCTCACATTAGTTTTGTTTTCTTAATCCTATGCTTTCAGCATTTATATATTAAATTCTACAAAACTAGAGGAGACCTTACTTGTTAAATTGCATTTCTTCTCCTATAGCTCCTGCCAGTTTTTAGTAGTATATAAACAATTTAGACCCATTGGCCTTTCAAAACATTAGATACTGCAAATTGATAAACAATTGCAATCCCCAAGATTTTAGAAAGATACATTCTGCATTGATTCAACTACTCGTATTATTGAGTACAAAGGAAAAGATTGTTGGATGCAATTATGTCTCTCATAATATCTTCTTGGGCATTACTCCAGATGATAATACATAATGTGCCGCATTTGCTTCAAATTTTGTAACCTCGTGTCTCTTGTCGAGTATGCAGGAACAACATTGAATGAACATGCTGCAAGCCTTTTTGGTACTGCTTAAATCCCCAGAGAAAGCTCCGGTAGTGGATAACTCCAACCCCGTCACTCGCAGTACTAATTTGAATCATTTTGAAAATAGAATTGCTAAAAAGCCCTAGTTGAACTCTAGGGGAAATTGTATTGATGGCTGAATTGGGAAAACACATTATTATAAAGGACGATTTTAGAAATTTACTCTTACTTTTTTCATCTCACTATTTTTATGATTCATACTCATTATTTTTTCTTCAACATTTTAATATGAATAAGACAATTTTTTGTGTATTAATCTACATGATAAAATAGGAAAATATTAATATTTTAAACTATATTAAAAAATTATGAATAAAATAGTTACATAGAATGTTTTATTAATCTAACTTTATATAAGATCCCTCACCTTGCCCTTCATTACTCAATTTTTTCTCATTTTTCTAATTTTAATAAAAAAATTGAAAGTCTCAATAATTTAGAGAAAAATAATAAAATAGGAGTAAAACATAAAAAATGTGAAAAAAAGTTTTATGTCATTATTGCAAAAACAGGAGTTACAATGAAAATAAAATATCAATCATGAAAGAAAAATAAGTTTGATTACATTATGTGACATATTTGATATTTAAAATAAAATTTTGTAATATATAAAGTACAAATACAAATATATTATTTATAATACATACTGCATAAATAAATTGAGCTGCAACGTAACCCTAATAACTTTTTAAAATTTTACGTTTTGATATTAATGCTAACTTTATATTATAATTATTTTTTGCAAAAGTAATTTTTTTTGTGTATGAAAAATAACAATACTTTTTTTAAAGACATTAATTAAGATAATGTGATGATAATAATAATAATAATTTATAACAACAAAAATTAGAATGGGAATAATATTAAAATACACGAAAATAAAATTTTTAAAAGTGTTTTTAGGTTTTCTAATTTTTTGAAGTTTCTTCCAGTTTTTTCCAGTTTCTTCATGTCCTTTGTAGTTTCTTCTATTTCCTTCCAACATCCAACTCTTTTTTCCAGTACTAAAGAACATGCTCTAAATCAAAAGGTTTTAGTTACAAATTGGCAAAGGCAGGGGTAGACCCGAATTTGATTTTTGATAACTGCACTAGGAAACAATTATGCTAAGCATAAGATCTCTACATGTGCGAAATGCAAAGTCCACTTATTGCTATCAATCTGTGATAAAAATCTAATTTAATTTTTTCAGAGTGACCGTCTAATCGAGTCTAATGAACTCTTAGGAATGAGGTTCATCCCTTTGTTAAAAAAGGGCCATATGATAAGAAAGTAACCATTAGCACACAAATAATTTAAAGCCCTACCAATATCATGAACCCCACTCCAAACGACTGGGCCGAAGAGAACACTTAATTAAAAAAAATGGAATGACCACTAGCACGCTCTGACTCCCCTGGCGTCATAAGATGGTGAGAGGATAAATCATAATCGTAATATAATTTTAGTTTGATTCATACGACAATTGCTCCGTGTCCGGTGCAAACATGAAACTATTACAAAGAGTAAGACTCACACATTACCTTTGTTGGGATTCGACCCTAAGACCTTAGGCTTGACATTTTTCTCTGGGAACAACTAAGCTACCCATGCAGGCGAAGAAAACACTTAATAGGATTAGTTAGGGGTGGATAAAAAATGAAACTAATATGATATCATTCGAACTATTTATCGTGTTTTTAAAAAAGAATTGATTTGTTATCACGAAACGAATTCAAATCGATTTTATTTTACGAAGTTTGACTAACTTTATTTTACGAAGTTTGACTGACTTTATTTTCAATTCAATTTATTTGATTGTAGGTGTAAAATTAAAAAATAAAATTTATATATTTAAAAACTACATCAAAAGTTCTACAAAACAAGTGGTGACAAGATTGTATTATTTTATCAAATACCTAATGAAAATAGGTAAAGAAAGTAATAAAAGTTTGACCGTGTAAAAAGTGAGTGGGAAGAACATTATAGGACAGAGGGAGTAGTTTTTTAATATGTAATTTTTATTTTTCAATTCTACACCATTTTTCATATAAAATGATTTGAAAATAACTTCAGTCAAACATCGTAACGCGCAATGTAAAGTTTATTTGTAGACGGAGGGAGTAATATTCTTTCATTATTTTTATTCATTCTTATTAAGTTTACTATTATTTTAATAATTATTATTTTTATTACTCTGCATTTTATACTCATTACTCCGTAATAATTTAACATTGTATAATGGGAAAAAATAAATGATTTTTAGATGTAGACTCATTCTCCTTTGTTTGTAATAATGATCCTTTTGGTTTGTACGGAGTACGCATTTTATTTACAATACGTGATATGCTCGAGTAAAATCAGGAACCATGAATCGTGGCTACTCCTAGTGTTTGACATTATTCCATTAACTTATTTTTTTTGCTTATTATTTATTTTTATTATAATTAGATAAAAAACAATATTATAATTGTAAGATTATATTCTAAGAATAGTCTTTTATAATAAGGTGTTTCCCAATTCAATCATTAATAAGTTTTAATTGTCTACGTGGTCCTTTATAATTGAGATTTTATTCTCAAGATTTTTCTTTGTAAACAATGTTACTCAAATGAGGATTAAATGAGGGTACTTTGGTATTTTTATCCGCTAAATTTAGAATTAATTCTTAAAATGATCATTTATAATGAAGTGCTTTCCCAGGATGATTTTTCTAATTAAGGATGTGTATTTTGATTTGAAATTTAAAAGATTTTTTATAAGTTTTAATCATTCAAGAATTATTTATAGTCAATGTATTTTTTCAATTTTACGTTTAGTTGTACAGAAATAGTAGTTTCGAGAATATACTTTAAATTTAGATGATCAAAATACCAAAATATCTCTCAATTAATCATCATTTGAGTAACATTATTAACAAATGACTATCTTGGAAATAAATCTTAATTATAGAGGACCATGTATGTAATTAAAACTAATTGATGACTGAATTGGGGAAACACCCTATTACAAAGGACCATTTAGAGAATTTACTCTAACTGTAATCAGATTAGACCATATCTGATTAAATCAAATTAGACCATATCAGATCTTCAAAAAATGAGATTATATTAGATTAGGCGAACCGAATGCAACCTTAGTAAATACCTACTAGCCTACTCAATTCATTATGAAGTGCACCGAGCAAAGGACCGTTAGACCAAATAGGGAATTGGGGACAATGATGGAGATGGATTAGGCTTTCATTTACACGGCAAATATTACTCCAATTCATCATATGTTCCAAAAAGGCAAAGGCCATTATCGAGGGTCTTCTCAAATTTGGTCGAACGGTTACTTAGAAGAGTTAAATTAGATTTTAATCGGAGATTTATAACAAAGAGTGGAATAGCTCATTCTCGAGGGTCCTCTTAGACCCGGTTGACTGATTATTGAGGAGAGTTAAATTAGATTTTAATCGTAGATTTATCCTATGTTCCAAAAAGGTAAAGGATAGCCCATTCTCGAGGGTCTTCTCATACCTGGTCGAACGATTACTCAGATGAGTTAAATTAGATTTTAGTCGCAGATTTATGACAAAAAAGTGGAATAGCCCATTCTCGAGGGTCCTCTTAGACCCGGTCGAACGATTACTAAGAAAAGTTAAATTAGATTTTAATCATAGATTTATGACAAAGAGTGGAGTGTGCACATATCTATCCTACCCCTTGCATTCTTTGTGGGAGCATGCTACATTTACACCATATTTGTACTCCATTTTGTACTTCAAAGCATTATCCTCACATTAAATGTAGGTACAAAGTGAGATACAAATATGGGTACATGTAACATCTTTCTTCTTTGTGTCTTCAACTGGCCATTGAATGTGTTCCACCCATAGTTTTAAAAACTGGACCGGACCGACCAGCTCGGACCGGGAACTGGTGAACCGCACTTCGAACCGGTCCGGTCCGGACAATTAGACTGGCTTCAGCATTGAACCAATAGAAACCGGTTAAAACCGGAGAAAACTAGCCGGTTTTACCGTGGTTTTTTTGATTTTTTGTAAACCTTTTTTAAAAAGCACATGCCAAGATTCGAACCTCAGTGTTGATTCTTTGCTATCTTTTTTTAATATTCTTTAACTGCAAAATTCTTTATCAAATACGTTAAAAATTATAGAGAGTTTTTTTTAACTAAAATTCAAAACACATTGATATAATTGAGATGAAGTACATATACCACAAATATTTTATTTATATGTATTTTAAATACTAGGTAAAATGTTTTAAAAAAATCAAATCACTTTTTATTTATAAGTTTTTTTAAATATGTGATTTTTTTATGTGACGACACAACTCAATTAAATTAATTAAATTATAAATTTAGTCAAACATCAATTATTTATTTATTAATAGAGGAAATATTTTTTGTTTACTCATATATTAGTTTTTTAATTCAATGCCACAACGTGTGTGGATATATATATGTGTGTGTGTGTTAAAGATGTTTGAACCACTGATTCAATCACTTGAACCACTGGTTCAACCAATGAAACAGTGAACTATTGTCTATTGTCTATTGTCTTACCTGTTCGACCGGAGTGAAAACTATGGTTCCACCGAGCCCAACCCGAAAACCCTAGAACCAGCTCAGCCTCATATATATTCATCCCTGATGCGTGTTCTCCTCAATCCTCATCAAATACCGCTCAAAACTTTCGGTTCTCCTCAAGATCCAAATCTCGGGTTCTCTCTCCTGCGCTCTCTTGTGCGATCTGACAAATGGAATTGGCTGAGAAGAAGGGTCGTTGGAGTTACAAGCGGGTCTGAGGATGATATTATTGTAGAACATTTCAAGTTTATCCCTTCAAACCTTAAATAAATGTGAGGTAACCATTATTTTTTTACATGGATTTCCTGGTTTGAACATGTGTACATATGGCATGTGTCCAGGAATGTTGGTTTAGTTGAGTTTCTTGTTTCTTTCAGAAATTGATACTCCGTATTACATATAATGAGATCATTTATGTATACATCCCACGTTAGTTTTGGTTTCTTATATCTATTGCTTTCAGCATTAATATACTTCCTATTAACTTCACCGAAAGTAAAGGAGACATTTTCATACTAAATTGCATCTGTCATCTTGAAGCTCCAACATTTTTTTGTTGTTCTATCTACAATTTAAACTCTCTGCCATTTTAAAATTTTAGGTACTTCAAATTGATAAACGGAAGCAATCCACAAGAGATTAGTAAGAGACATCACATCTGTTCAACTCATAGTTGTCAGGTTGCCAAGGTGAGGCAAACTCTGAGACCGGCAGCTCCAGAGTTCTCTATCCGGATATCATGTGTTTAGACTTCCCCTTTTAGCGCCTGCACACAATCCCAAGCCACCCATCTTGAACACCAAACATCGTTTGTGGATAGGTAAGTTGAAATCTTGATCGTGGTTTCAGGTACAAGGTTCTCTATTCCTTATTAGAGGTTTATTATTCCCTTGCATTATTCAATGCCTTATATTTCATTGTTGTTTGTGCTGTGGTGAAAGAACAACTAGATTGAGCGAAAACAAGTGTGCTAATGTGCTGCTATTTTGGGTTTGTTTGTGCAATAACTTCACACACTTTGAGCGAGACATATATAACTGAGCCAAAAGGTTTTCCATTGTGGTATCAAAATTTTTTAATTCTTCATTTTGTTGGTGTGAAAGAGAAACAAGATTGATCAAATCAATTTAGCTAACGTGCTATTCTTAGGTTTGTGCAAAAGCTTCACAGATGTCAATTCCAAAATTTATAAACATAATTTAGTTAGTTTGTTTCTCCTTTGTGGTTGTTTGGATTATATGTTTTGGCTGTTCATCCTATACACACACACACACATATACATGTTATTAATTAGTATGTTTTTACTATTTTCAAAGGTAAATCTGAAATTAGTTTTTGGGAAAAAATTAAAGTGTATCTTTGTTCAATAAATAAATTTATAGGGCCATTTATAATACATATCTAGAAACAAACACAAAAGAGAAAAAAGTTGAAAAGAATATGAGTTGTGCTTTCATGATCCTAATATGCACATGTGAAATGTGAAGCTTCTCACATTTTTCAAGTGCCAATATAGAGATTTTTTGTTTTTTCAAAGAGCCCATAAAATGAGTTTGAACCTAAGGATCACAGAGAATTTGCCAAGAAAGAAGTTACTTGTTTCATTCAATTCCAAGGTTGGCAATTTCTATGAGTATTTTTTATTGATGAATTTCATACACATCAAATTTTTGAAAGTGGATTATTAAATGCAACAAACATAATAGCCTCCACTTTCCACCACACAAAACACATAACCAAAGCCCACACATTAAATTAACATGTGTATTGCCATATGCTGCCAATGTTGCTAACGACCCCACATCTAACACCAGAACGCCTTTTAAGCCCATGCATAACTAGAGGTAGAAAATAAGTAAATTTATATGCTACATTGCATAGGTAAGTTTGTGTTTTTATACCACCTGCGAGCTTTAGATTAAAGCAAACATTAAAATCTTCTAAAATCATCCATTAATAATAACTAGCAAGAGGAGTATCCACCTGCGAGCTTTAGATTAAAGCAAACAACAAAATCTTCCAATAACAACTAGCAGTAGGAGTATCCACTAATTATTAAAAATGATCATGTAAATCAACTATAAGATACGAAACTGTTGTGAATATGGAAGTGGTGTTTACGCTAGACCGTCACATTATTTTCCCCTAACCATCATTTGCACAATTTTATCTCCATGAATTTTTTATTCACCAGTATTTTATTTCTTCATGATTGGTGTCAAACCAACTATCAATAATGTTGAAATGTTTTAGGCGTGATTGATTTCATATTCTTATCTGTAGTTTTGTTGTATATTTGATTCTAAATATAAAAAAGATAAATTGATGGAAATATTTTAAACTATATATTGAATAAAATTTATTTGTACATTTAATTTTCTTAAAAAAGACTTACAAATATAAAAAATTAGTTACAAGTATATTTTTTGTCAAATGTCTAACAATCAGATCATCATCTTCTGTACATCATGAAGCTTTTTGGTGTCTTCCAGTTCGGCTTTGCAAACTATGTTCAACAATTCTATTTTGTTGACATTTGTTATTTTATTAGACTCAGGAAATACATAAAAAAAATTTCTCTTGTCAAATTAATTCAATGGATAAAACATTAATGTAAATAAATTAAAACAAAGTTTTAACATGTATAATGTTTTAAAACACGTACAAAATACTCCATACACGTTCAAACTCCACGTGATGTCATAAATAAACTCTTTAATTGATTTTGAAATACTTGATTTAGCTTTTTTAGCTTTACAATGCTTCTCAACGAATAGGCATTTCCTGTTAGAAAGAATCCCCTCTCTTTACATGTTTGTATGACTATTCCCTTCGTCCCTGAGTATTTGTCCACTTTTGACTTTTTCGGTCAAAATTGGAAATTTTTTATCTCAAATTAGATAAAAATGATATTAGATATTGATACAAAAAGAGATTTATTAGATTTATTATATCAAATATTTTCAAAATATTATTTTATTTAATTAAAATACAATATATATTTTATTTAATTATAAGTCAAAGGTTGAAAATAGTTGACAAAAAAAGTCAAAACCGGACAAATACTTAGGGACAGAGGTAGTATTTATGTTTGCGATGGAATATTTTTTGTTATAAGGTGTTGATTTTGGCTAAGTCTTGAGCCGAGACTTGAACAAACTGGTTTGGATGAGCTTTTCCAAGATTGTTTGTAGCCTCTATTGATGCACGTGTAGATACAACTCAACGTATATCTTAAAACAATAAAATGTATGTAAATTTCAAGGGTTCTCCCACCTTAATAGCTAGCTTTTAGAGTGTGGCTCTCCCTTGTGCTGTATCAATGGTATCAGAGCCAACTTAGAGTGGTGGCCTACGGAGTGGTGGCCTGGTGAAACCAGCCGTGACCAATGTGGCCGTGACCAACGAGGACGTTGGGCCTTATGGGGGGTCGGATGATACGGACTGATTTCGTTGTCCCACACCGGTTAAATGGGGAACTTGATGATGGGTTTATATAGCCAAGGGTTCTCCCACTTTAACAGTTAGTTTTTAGGGTGTGGCTCTCCCTTGTGCTGTATCAATTAGTGTATTATGTCTTTTAATTATATATATTTCTACCGCGTATATGATTTAAAGTTAACTCGTTATTTGTTTGCAAACTAGGATAATTAATTCTAGTTTTCCTCTCTGGGCAATACATAATCTTCGTTTAGACCTATATCTTATTTAAAAACAATATTTAAAACCAAATTCAATTAATACTTTCATGTTATTAAAAATAACAAAGCTATATGTGTTAATTGGTTATATATACATGGATGCACAAAACTTAATAATTTTTATAAACATTGAAGAATTAATCGAATGTTGTTTTAACTATTATTCTTTTTAGGATATGTGTCCAGATAAAGATACATGTTTTCACATAAGAGAAGAGGATCTGAATTGATTAGTGTAGTTTGCAAGTAAATAACAACTATACTTGTACCTTGTAGACATACATAGAGTTAGAAGAAAAAATAATAAAATATTTAAATTTACATATGTTTTAAAGATGCTTGTTATGTTGTTTCTCTATTTGTATCGATATAGGCTGCACACAATATTGGAAAAGCGAACTCATTTTGTCCAGTTTCTTAAAGTCTCGACTTAAGACATAGCTAATTCATCTCTTTATAACAAAGAAGAATTCATCGCAAGCATTAATAGGTTGTATGAACACGCAAAGAGCAAGGTTCTTCGTGCGAGAGAATGCGTATACCTCAGGAAGTGTCAAACACGTAAAGCTAGGAAGCTTTATTAGCTATTCCATAATTAATTAAAGTATTTACCACATCACGTGAAGTGAGCATGTAAGAAGTGTTTTGTATGTGTTTTACCGCATTATACATTTTATATAAGACTTTGTTTTAATTTATTGCATTGATGCTTTATCTCTAATTAATTTAATTTGAGAAATATTATATATATTGAATGTAATAACGAATGTTAACAAAGTTTATTGTTGAATATAGTTTTCATGTACATATATGGATGATGATGTGATTGTTAGGCATTTGATAAAGAGTATAACTAATTTGAAATATTTGTGAAAGTATTTTTTTTAGAAAATTTATTTTACAAATAAATTATATTTAATGTAGTTTAAAATAATTTTGTAAATTTATTATTTTTTTATTTTCAAGATCAAATATATAAGAGGCCAAATAATAAATTAATAAAATCAATGATGTCTAAAATTTTTCAAGCAATACTAATAGTTGGGATTGACAACTATCGTGATGGAACAAACTACTGGTGGATTAAAAATTCGTGGGGAAAAGATTGGATGAATGATGGTTTTGGAAAAATAATACAAAAGTCTAGCACGAACACCATAATTTATGTATTTACGATAGTTTCAGATCCCATTATTTGATGTGCACCATAACTTCACCAAGCAATTAGCCTTAATGCATTGTGCTATTCTTCTTAGCTTCGTTCCTCACTATGTATGTATGTGTGTGTGCGTGTAGTGTGTGTGTAGTGAAGCTTGAACCCTACACGAGATAACTTGTGCTTGGCTTTACTTTGTTGAATACTCACCACACTGCTCACACTTTCAAAACATGTTTACCAAATCCAACATTCTCACTCTCAAATTCATATGGTTTTCATTATTTTTATATACATAGCCACTGTTTGATGTTATTTTATGGCATTCTTCGCCAAAAAAATGGGTCTTCTAATCAATTATTTGTTGTTTCCTCCCAAGCACAAGTTATCTCGTGTAGGGTTCTTTCTTCACGGATGTCTAAGTGTGAGAGTGCTTTAACATAGTCTTTGTGCTAGTTGTGCTAGCTAGACTCACTAGGGATGCACACACAACTCGGTTTATTTCTAAAAGTGCAGAATCATTAATTTATATTGGTTTTAGATTTTATTCTTCATTAGGATATGGATCCGGATGAAGATATGTTTGTTGATTGGAAGGGACGACGAGAATTAGTTAGCGTGGTTCTTACTCATATTACAAGTAAACTTGAGTCACATACTTTGTAAAAATACATAGAAACTTGAGTCCAAACTTGAGTCACATACTTTGTAAAAATACATAGAAACTTTGTAAAAATACATAGAAACTAATCATATGTTATACTCTATTATTTATAGACATATGTTGTACTATATCTGTATCCGCATCAATGGAGGCTGCACGCAATATTGGAGTAGTGGATCTCAATCAATTCGTCTAAGCTTCAGCTTAGGATTTAGGTAACTTCGTGCACCATAATCCAAACCTATCTGTCGTTTCCTTGTCTAAGGTTTATTTACATGCTAAGAGAATGGGGGCATTTC